GAAACACTCTAACTCCTTAGAGCTTATCACAACCAGTTTGGAACTGTATACTGAATAAGGTCAATATTAATAATAATAGACAAGTTGGATTGAGTTCTTACTATATGCCAAGCCTTGTTCAAAACCCTTCACCAGGATTAGCTAACTTTACCACCTTGGCAGATATCCCTGTGAGGCTGGCAAACCTAGGTACAAAAGGGCTGACTTGCTTCTGTCATGGGCTTCCTGGGTGGCTCAGTGGTAAAGAATCCACCTGCCAGTACAGGAGATGCAGGTGATGCGGGTTTGATCCCTGGTTTGGGAAGATCCCCTGGAATAGGAAATGGCAACCCACTCCAGGATTCTTGCCTGGAAAATTCCATGGACAGAGGGGCCTGGTGGGCTACAGTCCATGGGGTCACAGAGAATCAGACACGACTGAACCACTGAGCAGGCACGCATGTGCGCTGTTGTCAGTGATGGTCAGCAGTGTACACTTCTTGATATAGAGACATTGTCATGATCACAAATAGGCTTATATCAAAATAATAAAAAATGACATGAAGAACATATCTTCTCAAATCTTCACCATCATCACCACACAGCACCACCATCACCATCATTATCACCATTGTCCTTATAATTTCCACCATTATCACTGTCATAACCACCATCACTGTTGTCTCCATCATGCTGCCATTTTTAACATCTACTCCAGTGGTCCTCAAACCAGTACAGTTTGAGCCCCCAGGGGAATATTCTAATGCCTAGACCTGGGGCCTCTGGTACCTGGTGGAGTAACATTTGATCACGCTGAGAAGCAGATATCCACAGATGATGACGCTGCCCACGACTTACCCCATGATGAGGAACGCCAGGAAGGGTGCTGAGATGCTGACCCCTTGGATAAGCCCTAGGAGAAGAGGCACAGAGGTCAGGACCACCATTCGAGCATCCCTTCATTCACCCACACATCAGTTCCTCGGAGACTTATGAGTACTTACTATGTGCAATAGTGTTTCGGGTACTACGGGCTCAGCAGTGAACAAAACAAACTTCCCGCCCTTATGGGGCTGACATACTAGCTGGGAGTTAGCTGGGAATTCTAACTGGTAGACAGTTGAGAATTAAACATTGAGACATCCAGATTCACAACAGGCATCAATAACTGCTCTGGAAAAGCTTCAACCCACATCAGGGGAGAGAGGAAGTGCCAGGGTAGGGAGTGCTGCATACGCAGGGTCATGAACTCATTCTAGGGTGATTCATTCACTGAGCTCCAACTGTATGCCTGGCACCGTGTTAAAAACACATTGGTGATCAAAGAACTTGCCCAGCCTCTGTCCTCCTGAAGTTTAACAGTGCAGAAGATGTCAAATGGCATGAAATGAGGCATCATACATACACAAAAATTGTATCATTCGATGCTTAGTAAATAGTGCAGAGGGACTGAAATGTCTCCAGCCCCCATTCAGCGTCTGCTTACCTCATTCTCTGGGATGAGCCAGGCTGACAGCTTCTCGTGCCCTGTGTGATGTCCCTCATGTAGCAACCCCATCGACTAGAACCCTCACTATCAAACTGCAAAGGGGGAAACTGGGGCTCAGAGAGGTGACACTGCTGCCCCTGTTCACGCAGAAGGGCAGAGGCAGAGCTGGGATTTGATCTCAGGTCACTGGGCTCCAGTGCACCTGCTCTTCACGGCCCTGCATGCCTGCTCTCTCCCAAGCCTGTCCATCTCTCTCCGTGGTGTAGAGGATCGGACGTGGGGTCCCTGAATAGGTGCCTCCCCCATGTGCAGACTCCTTCCTAGCCAGCTTCAGAGGCCACACCATGGACACCTCCCCACCTCCCCTGCATCACCTCCCCCTGGCATGTTTGCTCTTCCTCATCTCAGAGCAGCCCCGAGGATCTGTGGAGGGCAGAGGCTGTGAGGTCAGACGGCCAGGGTTCCTATCTTGCCTCCTCTGCCCATTAGAACTGGAGCCTTGAACAAAGCGCCCAAACTCTCTGTGGCTCCCTTTGCTCACCTGTAAGAATGGAGGTGATGCTGATAAAGGTCACTTACTCTGTAGGGAGACTGGAGGGTCACCCAGGTTAGAATGGTGGCTACTGGCACAGAGTAAGTGCTCAGTCACTGTTGGCTGATCCTGCATCCCTGAAATTCACTCCAACTCTGGCCTGAGGACTCCAGGGGCTTCATAAAGGAGGCAGTTTGGACTTGGACCTGGGAGCCTGGGGGGACTTCTTCTGACCGTTGTGAGGATGGCAACACAGTGAAGAGGGCGTTTCTGATGACAAGTGCTGCCTAGGCCGAGGCATGAGAGTGGCGGGATTTGGAGAGAGCAAGGGGCAGCTGCTGCACTCGCTGGGCACGTGGGTCTGGACCTGGACTTCACCCTACAAGACCTCGTGGGTGGCGGGGTTCTCCTCGATGCACCTGTATCTGCCCATCTGGCCCCAGGTCAGACTCGGGAGGGTGATGTTCTTCTCTGAGAAGCTCAGGACAGAGATGTTGTGGATCCAGCGGTACTTGACTTGCGGTCTGCCATCAGAAAAACACTCCATCTTCACTTGGGAGCCAATCTCAGCAGGCAGGATGCCCTGGTAGTTAATGGGCATGCTGAAGATTGTTGCATAGGAGGGTCCATCTGCAGAGACAGGGCAGGCCACCCAGACTATGCTTCTGACTGTTGGGGGTCCTGTCTCCTCTCAATTCACAGGAAGTCTCCCTCCTACCAAGGGTGTCCCCACTCTTTGTCCCAAGTGGATTGCCAGACCCACCCCAGGAAGGCAGCTGGGCCAACAACGAGAGTTATCACAGTGTCTTCTGTTATGGAGACTTACTACAGGCCAGCAGTCTGGCTGCCCTTCACGTCACAATAAAATAGATGTAGAGTAGGAGCAGACAGACTTCTCTGGTGGTTCAGAATGTAAAGAATCCACCGGCAATGCAGGAGACCCAGGTTCGATCCCTGGGTTGGGAAGATCCCCTGAAAAAGGGAATGATAACCCACTCCAGTAGTCTTGCCTGGAGAATCCCATGGATTCCATGGGGTCGCAAAGAATATGATGTGACTGAGCATGCACTCAGTCCCTTCTTTACACAAAAGCTAGATAGATGTGCATGCATTCATAATATTTCTTGTCTGAGAAGTAGGGATTAGGGCCCTCAGTTTAAATTGAGTGGACCGAAGTTGGAGCAGTGAGGATAATTCTGAAGTCCAAAGCTTAAAACAGACAGAGCTGGGATCTGAAGCCAGGACAGTTGTCTACATGGTGTCTCATGCCACACTTTCTGGGAGACCCTGAGACCAGCTTGGCTCCCCTCCCATGACCCATGGGACGCACAGGTCACCCTGTGAGTGACCACCCTTCCCTCCCATGACACTCACAGGTCACCGTCAGATAGACTGGTTCGCTTTTCTTAATAATCTCTGAGAAGACTTGGATCCCACACTGCAGGGGTGAGTCGCTGCTCCTGACCTTTTCGATGATGAGGGTCTTAGTGTATGGAGAGATGGTCATGCGTTCGTAGCTGGACACCTGTGTGTAGCCTACATACACTGGACATTTGTGTCATTGGTCTGGCAGATGGCAGCCATGAAGTCCACATTCAGTACTGCGTAGCTGGTGTTGACTGAGATGCCCGGGGTTTCAAACACTGGGTGAAGCAGGAAGGAGAAGATTAGGGGTTGGATGTGCCTCTCCAAGCTCTATTCCTCTCCACAGGGGCTTTCAGAGCAGGCTGGGAAGAAGCCCAGAATTGTAAGATGGGATCTAGGATCTCGGGCTGAGGCAGACAGGGAGGCAAGGAGTGGGCACGAGGTAGTCGAGATGCAGGCGATCCCCTGAGCTTGTGGTCTTATGGGCCGAGCCATCCCTCTAGCGGTTCATTGCAATAATGGTGAGTTCTTCCCATAGGCATGTTGTCATGTGGTTATTTCTATAAAACTTGGATCCTCCATCCATGGAACCACGGGTTGTATGGACTGAGAAATGGCCTGTGCTCTCCATAACAATTCCTCCTACTATCCGAGTCCCATTTCCTTTTACAAACACTTCCTCTAACCTTACAACAGACCACACTGTCTCTGATTCTACTGACAAGAGGGTCAGAGAGGGAAGACTAAGGCGATTTGGTATATACAGAGTCAGAGGTAAACAAAAGTCTTTCAGTCTTCAAAATCCACACTGTCCTGCCCTAGCCCTGTGGAGCCCCCTGGAGCTCAGGGGAGGAGACAGAATTCCAAGATGACGCCACGATCTCCACTCCCTAGTGTAAGCCCTGTATAATCCCATCCCCTCAATGCCGGCAGAACTTGTGACTTTCTTGTAGCCTATAGAAGATGGCGAAGGCGATGGGATGTCACTCCCATCATTGTGTGTCTGTGAGTGCTCAGCCTCTGAATCGTGTCCGCCTCTAGCCCGCCAGGGTCCTCTGTCCATGGGACTTCCCAGGCGAGAATACTGGAGTAGTTTGCCATGCCCTCATCCATGTTCCTTACCCAGGGATTGAACCCACATCTCCTGAGTTTCCTGGATTGCAGGTGTATTCTTTACCCATTGTTATATAAGGTTCCTTCTCAGCAGTCTAGAAAGAGAGACTGTTTTTGACCTTGAAGAGACAAAGAGCCATGATGTGAAATCCTATGGACAGAGCCACCCATAAGGACCTAGCCCCGGCTGACACTGTGTGAGTCTCAGCACTGGAAATGGCTGAGCCATGCCAGGACTTCTGACTCACAGAAATGAATGTCCTTTTAAGCTACTAAGCTTGAGGCTATTGGTCCTATTCGTCATGCAGCCGGAGATAACTAGTACACTGAGAGGGAACCTGGAGCCCTCGAACATGGTGAGGGTCCTGTCCCGGGGGAGAAGCTAGGCGACCATGCACCAAGACTCCCAGTGTCATCTGAGGGCAGGTGGAGACTAGACACTGTGAGCTCCAGGGACCACCACTCCCCAGACCTCCGTATTCAACTCAGTGCAGTCGGGCAGGGGGGCAGCTGCCCGCTCACCTCGAACCTCGAGCCAGCCAGTTGCTCTCTGGGTGTCACTGAAGGCAGCCGCCCGCGCGGTGTAGTTCCCCGTGTCGTTTAATTGAGAACCCTTGATCAGCAGGGCACCTGTATGGGACACTGTTTCCCGGCCACTGTACACGGGCCCTTTCTGCTGGGAGTGAGATGTGGTGTTGTAGCTGATAATCAGATTTTCCTCAGTGTCATTTGCACCCCGGTGCCAACTATATTCCTGAACATCTTTAGGGGCATTGTTGACAGTCAGGAGGCTCTGGAATCCCTTCAAACCTGTGAATGGGTCTGGGCTGATGTACATTTGGCTGGAGGCCTGGGTGATCCCACAGGCCAGCAGACTGGCTGAGGAAGACAAACAGAAAAAGACACACACACACAGGTTTATACCCACAGGCGATGAGCCACAGAGACACTGGTGAACAGGCCATGGGTTTCTAGCTCTGAAAGACCCCCCACCCTGTCTCCTTCTCTCCATCACCTCAGCCCCTGCCCTGGTCCATTCTTTTATCATCCGTTTCCAGGCTGGCCTCCTCCCTGGATACTCAGCCTCCAGTCCATCCTCAAAGGACAGTTTTGTGGATCCTTAAGAAGCCCCACAGGTGACCCTGCTCTCCCTCTGCTTATGTATCTTCCATGGCTCCCCAGTGCCGTCACACTCTTAGAGAGCGAACTGGTCTTTAGGACCCAATGTAGGCTCTTTTTGAGTCACATCTTCCCTACTTTACCACCTTCATTCATTCACTCATGTATTCATTCATTTATCTGAAGACTGTGTGTTCCAGTCACACATACAGATCTCTCTTGACCAACTTCACTGTCTTCTGACTTGGATTTTTGCACATGCTGTTCCCCATTTCTATGTCCCTGGCACCCTAGCTCTCTTCTCCCCATGTCCATTTTCCTTGTTAACTCACTTCTGTGTCCCAGCTCCCCAGAGGTCAAGGTGGAACCCAGCAGGAGGGCTGAGAATGGTTATCTGGGTGGATTAAACTCCCCCAAGAGGGTTTGCACTGTCTTTGATTTACCGTATAGGTTCAGTGGCATGAAATGAATGGTGGTGGGGATCTGTTATCTTGGCAGGCGTCTGCTGCTCTGAGGACCTCCCCCCATGGAGGAGGCAAAGACAGCAAAGACCCCGCCCCCTAGAGTTCCAGGTGTGGACCCTAGAGGTTTTGGAGGACAGTGTACATGGTCACCAGGGAAACACGAGAGTGGGCAGTATTAGGAGGAAGTAGAGTGCTTTGGGGGAAAGTGAGGGGTTGGGAGGGGTCCTACCAGAGAGGCAATGGAGGGGATCAGAGCAGAGGAGGTGAATCCAGAGGAAGTGATTGCTGAGAGTTGTGTGCTGGGGTTCAATTTCATCACGCTTTGTGGTGGGTAGAGATGAATGCTATCTGGCCTGTGTGTGTGTGTGTGTGTGTGTGTGTGTGTGTGTGTCTTGGGCAAGCCATGTGTCCAGGTGTGTGAGTTCATGAAAGTTCTACTGAGGGTCCTAGGTCACTCCCTTCTCCCCCAGCCCCCCGCCCCCCATCACGCTAGCCCGACTCTCTTACCCACGAGGACTAGTTTTCTCCAGAGTCTGCACCTGGGTCTGGAAAGGTCCATGAGTCACTCTGGTCCTCCTGCTGGAGGGATCTCTCCAGGGACCCGGCTGCTTCCTGTGCCCTGTTATAGACCTGCATCATCTCAGGCTCTGAGCTGTGGTCTCCACCCCCTTCCTGCTCACGGATGGACTCTGAACCACACGGTGGGAGGGGCTGAGGAGGAGACACTCTTCTGAGAGGGCGATTATCTTTAGGACTTGATACCCACAAGGAAGGACCTTGGACATGCGGCAATTAAAATATCAGTGACCATTTTGTGGAATTTTTGATATCTCAACCTACTTTTCTTAAAACAGAATTGGACCACCTTGACCAAAAGGAGAACAAACAGCATCACTCATCACCTAGTTGTACAAGGGTTTTCAGTCACTACCTGCTGAAGTCTCCCACCAACAGTGCACCCTGAGAGGAATTCAGGATGAGGTACTCTGTGCTTTGGATAATCAGGCCCCAAGATGCACAGCTCAGAAAGAATTTCAATGATCTCAGACTTCAGCATCAGTCATACTAAAAAAAAAAAAAAAAACCTCTAAAATCATTAACTTGGTATATCTGTTCTTTGTGATGAGCAGTGATCAGTTACTAAGATGTATGCTTGATGACACATCTCTCCCAGTCCCCAAATTCAAATACGCACTGGCTCCTCCTCTGCCTCTTTGGAGCAGTTCCTCAGAGCCATCTCCCAGGCTACAGTCCTCAGGGAGACCCTGAATAAAACTTACATGCTCTGTGTTTTGCTTTAAGTGGACACCCTTCAATAGAGTCACCCTAACTTATCACCCTGGTTTCACTAACTCATCAGTTAGTTCATATGCTTATAAGTGAAGGCTTGCCAGTGACTCCACCATTGGGTGAAAGCCACGAACTGGGCAAAGCCTGAAAGATCTCTAGGATTACTGTGAGGAGGCCAGCCTGCTAATTTAATATGTGGTCAGGATTGGCCAATCACTGGGCCACTTCATGTGATTCCTAGGGTTTTCCCAAAGCCTGTTGATTGGACAAAATTCAGGCTTGCACGCAAAAATCTGATGAACCTGTTTATTGATAGGGCCCACATGGGGTCTCACCGATAAGATGGCTCCTTATGTTGACCTCGCAAACAAAGAATAAAGCACAGTGATCAGTGAGACTGAAATTGCCCAAATGGCATCCTGTTATCTCACTGGAGCCTATCATCTCAAAACCGTGAGACCACCAGATTCCAGCCCTCTGGCTACATGACCATCCCTTCAGGGAATTTTTCATTGGTGGGGTATAAGAAGGACTCCATCAGAAAGGGAGGACGCTGGTTCTCCTTAGGAGCCACTCACCCTCTCGTTTCCCTCTAATAAATTTCCCTTTTCTTGCCTGACTGCTGGCTCACTCTCTTTTTCTCTGCACTCAACTTACATTTATGACTATCACAATCAGCTTCAGGTTATTTTAAAGGATATCCTGATCTTCCTTCAGATGTTGATTCCATCCAGGTAGCTTTTAACTCTATGTTTGCTAATGGGCTGAACTGGGACCTTACTTTCTCATAAAAAGGACCAGAATGGGGTGGTAAGTGCTGTTGAAGACTTAGCTAATCTGGAAAAACAGCTCTCTCACTCTCTAGAGGAGTTCCTTAAAAGGAAGACCTCCCCCCAAATTCTTCATTTTTAACTCCAGCCATTGAAGACCCCTCAATGAAAGGAAGACCCTCCTTATTTCTGCCCTTATTGCAAAAAAAAAAAAAAAAAAAACCAGGACATTGGAAAGGATTGTCATAAATTAAAAGTCTTAAGTTGCGTTTTTGCTCCGAATTCTCAATGACAGAGCACTGAGGAGCTATAGGGCCTCTTCCCCCTTTCTCCCTCTTCACTGATTTGAGAAATACTTCTCTAGATTGGGAGTAAACCTCTCTGGTCCTAATTCACACTGTAGATACACATTTGGTGCTCAACTCACTATCATAAAACAGCCCCTGCCTTGAGTACTAAAGTCATCCAAACAGTGGGGATCTCCAGTGAACCCCAAGAGACTCTTGCCTCTGAACCTGTTCCCTCTGTTTAGACCTTTGAGGTGCTCACCCTTTTCTCCTTTGTTCCTCCACCCTATGTATTCATCAGGTTGAGACTCCTTAAAAAAGTATCACGCTGTCATATCTTTCTTCCAAAGGGGAAACTAATTCTAGAATTTGACCATAGTAGTAGAATTTGACAGCAGCCAACCAAGTGAATTAAATGACCCTTTGACATCTTATCTTTGTTCCATCTCTGACAAAGCTAAAGCTGAACCTGGAAACACTGATCAATTATCTCTACGGAATCAGCTACCCTCCTCCTCGGCAAAATCTCCAACTGATAAGTCACAGTACTCTTCCCACCAAAATCCAGTGAACTTCCCTTAGGAAGTAGTCCAGTGGTTAAGACTTCACCTTCCAATGCAGGAGATGCAGGTTTAATCCCCGGTCAGGGAGCTGGAATCCCATGTGCCTCAACAGTCAAAAAAACAAGCCATGAAACGGAAGCAATGTTGCAACAAATTCATTAAAGACTTTTAGGGTCTCCCTGGTGGCTCAGGGGTAAAGAATCCACCTGCCAATGTAGGAGACACTGGTTCAATCCCTGATCTTGGAAGATCCCACATGCTGGGGAGCAACTAAGCCCAAGAGCCACAAGTACTGAGCCTGTGCTCTGCAACAAGAGAAGGCTGCTCAATGAGAAGCCAGTGCCCCCCAGCTAGAGAAGCCCCCACTCACCATAACTAGAGAAAAGCCCACGCAGCAGTGAAGACCCAGCACAGCCAAATAAATGGATAAATTTTAAAAATACATAAAGACTTTAAAAATTCAAATAGAGCTCTCAGAATTGCTTCTCAGAATTAATATCCTATAAGCAAGAAGACCTTCAGTGCTTCCCAGGTGTCACATTCGATCCCTAGGTTGGGAAGATCCCCAGGAGGAGGACATGGCAACCCACTCCAGTATTCTTGCCTGGAGAATCCCTTGGACAGAGCAGCCTGGTGGGCTATGGCACATAGAGGTGCAGAGAGTTGGCCGCAACTCACGAACCTTGGCACACATGCACAAGAAGTCCTTCAAGGCTTGAAGGCCATCACAGAAGATTACAAGGCTCAAAGCCTTTGTACCAGTCCCTGTTAACAGCGCCATTTTGGCACTGAGGATGAAGGTCTGTCCCAGGTCTTCAAGGGATAAACAGAATTGCTGTACTTTAACACTGTTGTTCCTAACACTCATATGTTGTGGGCATCCCTTCCAACCATAAGTAAATTCCTTACTGCAAGTGATTCTTTTATGCAAGTGAAGGCTCCGTCTTGAAAGCAGGACTCCATCTGGGGCCGGACTGTGGACTTTGAGCTATGTGCCCAGGATCTATGAAAACGACACAGCAACTGGAAAAACAGGCCCCCAGAAGGAAGAGTCCCAGGGCTCTCTGTCCTCTTAAAGAATACCCTAATTATCTGTATAACTGAATAGAATCATACATTCTATTATGCTTATTGGGATATGACCACAGGCCTATTGATAATGGTCCACTGTTAACTACATAGGCTTAAGGCATAAGAATCAAGGGTTAACTTTGATTGTATCTTTCTTTTCCTTTGTTCAGACTAGTTTCAGAGAATTTGGGGAGGTAGTTTTGGGCACGTACACTTAGGGTATATAAGGTTTTCACAAAAACTGGTCAGCATCCTTGGCTAAGAGGAGACTCTGCCTTGGTCCCGCCTGTGCACTCCAATATCTGCGATGTCCTTCTGAGTGAGTTTATTTCTGGAACAAGTGGCTACAACATTGTGAACCCAGGGACTGTAGCCTGCCAGGCTTCTCTATCCATGGGATTCTCCAGGCAAGATACTGGAGTAGGTTGCCATTTCCTTCTCCAGGGGATCTTCCTGACCCAGGAATCGAACCTGCATCTCCTGCCCTGCAGGCAGATTCTTTACCTACTGAGCTATGAGGGAAGCCCCTGGTACCAGAGCAGTTTCCAAAGGACAGGATGCGGGGAGGCAGCCAGGAGAAGGGGCAGCAGGTCCCGGCTTCCCAAGTGCCTTGGGTTGTTCGTTGCCTTCTCTGGACTGCAGCATCTCTCTGAAAAATGGGTAAATGAGCACCATTTCTCAAGACTGCCAAGCTGCGATGAGAAAAGGTCTGAGGTTCCTCTTCTGTACACGCACACACACACACACACACACTTCTGTCAGAACTTCCTCTTGCTCACAGGGCTACTGGTTCCTTGAAAGAGGGAACCTAGACATCAGACAATCCCAGAAAAGAGCTTGGCCCTTCCCACTCCCTCTACTGTGCCCACCTGATGAAAAGAATTGACTCCTTGGCGAAGACCCTGATGCTGGGAAAGATTGAGGGCAGGAGAAGGGGACGACAGAGGATGAGATGGTTGGATGGCATCACCAATTCAATGGACATGAGTTTGAGCAACCTCAAAGAGATGGTGAAGGACAGGGAAGCCTGGCGTGCTACAGTCCATGGGGTGCAAAATTAGATAAGACTGAGTGACTAACAGTTTCACATTCACTTTAGGAGGCTAAAACTTTCTTTTACAAATGAGAGGCAGGGGACGTGGGGCAGTCTGTCTCTGGGAAAGGCCCTTACTCAATGTCAGTTCCACACCTGGAGGAACTGAGGACCTCTAGGGTCTGGACTAGGGTTTCTCAGTCCCATCACTGTTGACTTTGGGGATGGATGATTTCTGTCACAGGAGTAGGGACTGGGGGTGGAGTATAGCATGTTAGGAAGCTTCCCTGGGCTTGCCCACACCCATCGGATGCCAGTTTCACCCAATATCCAATCTCCCCTGGCGTTTTGGGGCAGGGGTAAGAACCGCTGGTCTGGACAACAGGGTGACCCTCCCTGTCCAGGGCAGAAGGACTTAGCCATCGAGACATCTACCACATCGTCCCACCACCCACATGCCTCTGAGGTCTGCAGAACCCCTGGTGCACCCATGACAGGTCAGGAGGAGCCTCCACCAAATTCCAGAGGACTGGAGGTTCATAAGCCACATTCCTCATCCCTGTCGCACTGCTGGATGGATGAGCCCGAGATGGGGGTCAGGACAGGGGTCCCCTGCGTGTCTGCTCCTCTCTGGGCAGGTCTCCGGGGTCTCTGGGCGGAGGGGCGTCCTGTCCGCTGTGTGTGGAGGAGGAGGAGGAGAAGTTCTTCTTCTGTGAACAGAGTTTCTTCCTCCTCCCCGGCTTCCCACGGGTCTCCCCGCAGCCCTACCTCCCTCTCCCCTTCCCCTTCTCTTTTCACACACGGGAGGCCCAGGCACCCTCCGGCTCAGACATGCTGCCGCTGCTGCTGCAGCTGCTGTGGGCGGGTGAGTGGACAGCGGGGTGGGGATGGGCAGGGCGGGGGCTCGGCTGACCCTCGATTCCCTGCAGGGTCCCTGGCTCAGACTCCGAGATACCAGCTGGACGTGCCGACGTCCGTGTCAGTGCAGGAGGGCCTGTGTGTCCGCGTGCCCTGCTCCTTCTTCTATGCCACGGACGTCTTCAATGCTTCTAGCCCTGTTCACGGCTTCTGGTTCCGGGAAGGGGCCGATGTAAACTCGGATGCCCCCGTGGCCACAAATAAATTAGATCGTGAAGTTCAGGGGGAGACCCAGGGCCAATTCCACCTCCTCGGGGACCCCAGGAACAACAACTGCTCCTTGGAGATCAGAGACGCCAGGAAGAGCGACAGCGGTTCCTACATTTTTCGTGTGGAAAGAGGAAATATCAAATGGAGTTACACTTCTGAACAGTTCTTCTTGAATGTGACAGGTAAGCCGTGTATCTAGGAGAGGCCACAGTGGGGGTCATGGGGGTCCCAGGGCAGGGCTGGGGTGGGGGCCCCTCCTGGGAAGGCATTTGGGGTAAAGCAGGTGGGGGCTCAGAGGGAGGGGCTGGACTGCAGCCTGAAGCTTCTCTGGGGGCCACACCTCAAAGCCGCCTCCCAATATCCCGTCTCTCCCTCCTCTCACCAGCCCTCACCCACCAGCCCCACGTCCTCAGCCCGGGGGCCCTGGAGCCCGGCCGCCCTGGGAACCTGACCTGCTCCGTGCCCTGGGCCTGCGAGTGGGCCACGCCCCCCATCTTCTCCTGGACGTCAGCTGCCCCCAGCTCCCTGGGCCCCAGGACCCCCTTCTTGTCGGTGCTCACCCTCACCCCACGGCCCCAGGACCACGGCACCAGGCTCACCTGCCAGGTGAAGTTCCCCAGAAGCGGGGCGATGGTGGAGCAGACCATCCTGCTCAATGTCACCGGTGAGTGAGGGGTGAGCATGCCCGGGGGGCCTGAGTGTGTGTGGGCAGGCGGGAGATGGGAGGTGCTCTTGTCCTGGAGGCCCAGCTAAGGAGGGGGCTAGAGGGATGTATGCCTGTCCCTCCTGGGTTCTGCAGATCTGAGTGGAGGGGCATGGATAGGATGACTACACTTCCGTCATCCCAGTCCTCCCGCTGAGGAAGGAAATCCTCTCTTCCCGTCCCAGGTGCTCCACAGGGGCTAGTGACCAGAGACTTCCAAAGAAACAGCACAGGTATGAAGGAGGGCCCCTCCTGGGCTGTCGGGGGCGAGGCTGCTTCCAGCTCAGGGCTGGGCTGGGCTCTGCTCTTCCCTGCCTCTCTCTGGACCCACCCCAGTGACCGGAGCCCCCAGTGGGTGAGCCCAGTGGTCCCTGCCCCTCCTCTGCCCCCATGGCCACTCTGCCAGCTGTCCCCACCGGCCCCTCACTCCCGTGGCCTTGTCCACTTCCTCTTCTGCTCCCCAAGAGCAGGGTGACATCCCCAGGGCAGAGTCCACCCCTCAAAGCGCCTCACCATCCACCACCTGACTCCTCCAGCTCTGCTGTTTATTTTCTCCCAATAGTTTGTAACTTATGCATGTTTTCATGGATCGGATATTTTGAAAGCGTTTGTATTCACCATGACCATATATGGTGAAACCTTTTGCTCTTTGCTCATACCAGGTGAAAACTGGCATCTCTATATGGCAGTGCTTATTTAAATGCATTATTTTAATTGAGGAAAAATCAGATAAAATAAAATCGAGCATTTTAGCCAGTTGAAAACAGACAACAGCTGGCTTCGAGAATGTTCACGATGTACAAGTCTCACCACTCCCTAAATCCATCCATCTCAGATTTTCATCATCCCAGAGGGAAGCCTGGTGCCCATGAAGTAGTCACTCACCACACTGTCCTCCCCAGCCCTGGGCAACCACTGACCTGCTGTCCATGTCCATGGATCTGCCTATAGGGGACATTTCATACAAGTGGAATGTTACAGGACTGTGGCTTTTTCCATGTGGCTCATTTCTCATAAAAAACATTTTCCAGGATCACTTATTAAAAGTGTATCAGTATCAATTTCTTTTTGTCTGAATAATATTTCATTGCATGGATGGACTAGTTTCTGTTTATCTGTTTAGCAGTGGATGGACATCTGGGTTATTTCTACTCTGGCGCTATTACAGTGCTGCTATGAATGTTGCTAAATATATATATATATATATATATATATATATATATATATATATATATATAATTGACTGCAGTTTTCTTGGGCATATACCTAGGAATGAAATTTCTGGGTCAAATGGTAGATTCTACATTTAAATTTCTGAGGAAATGTCAGCTGTTTTTCACACTGGCAGGACCATTTTATGTTCCTGCCATCAATATATGTTGGTTCCAATTTCTCCAGATCCTTGTTGATATTGTTATTTTCCTTTAAAACTGTAAAAGAAATTTCGGTGTGAAGAAATATCTCAACATGATTTGAATTATGTTTATGGAGTGAGTAATGATATTATTCCTTTTTCAACATGAAATTATTTGTCATTTGGAGAAATTTTTTAATCCATTGTTCCATTTTTTAAATTGCAATGTTTGTCTTTTTGTTGTTGAATTATAAGATTTTTTAAATATAGGCTGGTTACTACACACATATCAAATCTATGATGTGCAAATATTTTCTCCCATTACATGGTTGCCTTTTCACTTTCTCAGTAGTGTCAATTGACAAACAGAATTTGTCATTTTCATGAAGTCCAACTCATGCATTTTCTGCACCGCCCCCCCCCCCCATTCAACTGCTGGATGGTAAGGGGGTGGGGATGGGGTGAGGCGTGGGCACATGGGGTCTGGCATCCAGTGAGTCAAGAAGGCCTGGAGGCCTCGTGGGAGAGGAAGGAGGCAGGATGAGGTCCAGCAGGTGAATTTGTCCTGGTCCCACTTTCCTGCAGGGCAGTCAGGGCGTGTGGCAAGGTGGTGCTGAAACCACAGGTGGCGTCTTGGGGGGCTCCAGTGAGCTCGGGTTCTTTATGACTCAGCACAGAAAGAATTCATCAAGAGGCAAAGTCACGGACAAGAAGTGATTTATTAGAACAGGACGCTGAGGAGGCTCACGAGCCGAATTTCCAGAGGGTGCTGTGCCCCCAGATCTCAGTGGTTTAAGTCTCATAAAAAAGGAAAGGTGGAAACAGGGAGAAGTTCAGCTCCTTCTTCATTCTTGAGTAGACGTCACATTCCCTCACTAGGTCCCCTTCCACATCATGCTGGGGAGTCTGCTTGTCCCCACATGGTCAAGCTGGGGCTGCCGTGGCATCATGGAAAATTCACGTCTCAGTACTGTGAGGGCCTTTCACTTCGAAGGGTCCTCTCTCCATAATTTATTATTTGTGTGTGTGCAGACAGCACGTCCTAGGGCTCATTAACTGAGCTTGCTGGGCATGGTGTGGGGTCTCCTGCAGAGGTCGTTTTATTGTTTGGGGCCAGGTCTCATGCTGCAGCTCCTGGTTTTGTTGCTAAGCAAGACTGCTCCCTTGAGTGTCCATTAACTTGCAGGGTCTCTCATACCTTCTTCTTTACCTACGATCCCCTAGTGGGAGTAACGATTTAATCACCTACTTTGTTCCTTTACTCTGTCCCTGCCAGTCCTCGTGGCCTTCTGGGAAGCGACTGTAAAGATCGCACTCCTCTTCCTCTGCATTCTGGCCCTCCTGTGAGCACTGCCCCGGGGGAGGGGAGGGGTGGGTACAAGGGGCTGCAGCCTTGAACCAGCACCACCGGGGGTGGGGCAGGGCCAGCAGGAGGCTGACGGGAAGGAGGGGTGGGGGTTGGCAGTGCTTAGGGTTCCCCTGGGGTATGGGCTGTTCTCTGTCTGGAGTCAAGGTTGGGTGAGTCTGCTGCCCAGCTGCACCCTGTTCTGGTCAGAGTGAAACGGCCTGGTCTCTTCTCTCAGCGTCAGGTCCTGCAGGAGGAAGACAGCCAGGCCGGCAGGGGGCACCTCAGATGCAACCACCATCCCAGGTTAACCCTTCAGGTGAGTGAGGCAGGCATCTCACTGCCCAACATCACACTGCACACTCCCCCAGGATGACCTTCAGGATTGCCCGGCTCAGCGTGGCTGAAATAGAGCTGCCATCTTCCTCCCCAAACTCACTTCTCTGCTTGGCTTCCTGCCACACTGATGACAAGGCAGCTTTAAGCCCAGATGCTGGGGAGGGGGCAGGCTTTCCGCCCTTTCATCACCCCCTTCCCTCTTCTTGGATCCAACAATTCACTAAGTGCTCCCCAACCTTCCTCCTAAGCACAGCTCATCTTGAAGCCCGTCTCCTCCCGGTCCTGACCCTGGTCCTTCCAGCAGCCTCATCTCTTCCCTGAGTCACTGAACCTACCCACCTCCTGCTTCCTCTCGCTGGGAAACAGGCCCTCGGGTCAGAGGACTCACCAGAGACGGTTCCCATCCACTTCCCACACAGTCAGAGCAGCTGTGTTTCCTCCCCACTCAGGGGACGGAGGGGCCCACACCGCAGGCTGGATTCGAAGCCCTGGTGGGCCTTCCGTGCTGACTCTCCACACAGATTAGCCCTCTGTCTGCATCTCCCAACATCTCCATACCCAGCCTGGTCAGAATGTGACTCTGAGACTCTCTATGTGCAGTGCCTTCTCCTGAAACGCCCTTTCCTCCCCATCCCTGCCTCTCTGAGTCCTGAGCAACCTGCAGGCTCAGGCTTCAGCATCACTGTGTGTGTGTATGTGTGCACGTCATTGTCTGCTTTTGGCTGGAAGAGCCACATACGTTTAATTACAGAGTATTCATAAAGTACTACTGCACATCTACTTTAAGCCATCTTGTGGTAGGTGCCCAGTGGGCATCAGTGAATACAACATCAAAATTCTGTGTCATTGGGACTTCCCTGGTGGTTCAGTGGCTAAGACTTCCCTCCCAGTAGGTCAGCTGAGTTTGATCCCGGGTCAGGGAACTAGATCCCACATGCTGAAACTAAGAGTTCACATGGTGCAACCAGAGATCCTGCATGGGGCAACTAAGACAGCTAAATTTAAAAAAAGTAAATAAATATATATCTTAAAAAATCTGTCATTGAGTATACGGTACAGATTTGTGGTTGCCTAGGAGAAGGGGTGGTGGGGGACGGATGGACTGGGATTTTGTGGTTAGCAGATGCAAACTGTGATATATAGAATGGATAAACAGCAAGACCCTCATTCTACTGCATAGCACAGGGAATTATATTCAACATCCTGTGATAAACTATTATGGAAAAGAATTTGACAATGAATACATACGTATGTATACCTGTTAGGTAGTTAGAATAGGAAAAAGGAGTCCAGAACGGTGGTGACTAAAAGACAAGAAAGGGAAAAGCCCATGAAAATAGAAGAAAGGAAGGTCTGAGGACCTGAGTGAGGACCTCAGGTAGAACAAACAGCACTCCTGGCTAGCCCAGTTTACATAGGTCAGTCCCAGGGGGAGAAAAAACAATTAAAAGAGGAGCCAAAGGGCCTAAGGGGAGGGTGTCTCTCTTCTGCACACACGCATGGGCACATGCTCTCTCTTGCTCACTCTTCTCTTCACGTCTTTTGGGTCCGCATGCCCTCACGCCTCGAGGATGTATTTTCCTTTATTTTCTAAATAAAGCTGAGCTATAACACAGAGCTGTAACACTGATCTGTCTGAAAGCTGTAACATGGTCTGTCTGAAGGCTTTAACGTCCGTCACCTCAAATTTTTGTGGTGACGAGCCAGAACTGGGGAAATTACACACTCCCCTGACATAACTGAATCACTTTGCTGGATAGCAGAAACTAACACAACATTTTGTAAATTGCAAATCAACCATGGTGTGGCGTGGCATGCATGCTCCATCGTTTCCAACTCTTTTGTGACCGCATGGACTGTAGCCCGCCAGGCTCCTCTGTCCGTGGCATTTCCCAAGCAAGAATACTGGAGTGGGTTGCCATGACCTCCTCCAGCGGATCTTCCCAACACAGGGGTCCAACACATCAATAATAAAGTTTCTTTTTTACAGTTTTATCATGAAGAAGCTGTCCTTCTGGAAACAAAGATACAAACAAAAGGAATTAAGGGGGAAAATTGAGAGTGTTGGGTGGTAATATGTGTTTAGAGAAGCATCACCCAGGGAAAGACCACATGGCATTTAGGGGGACAATTTTGTATATCCGAGAGGTGAGGTTTGAGCCCAGACTTGATGGTGAGAAGGCAGGTTCTGCGGTCACCTGAGGGAGTTACCCCAAGACGGTGGGCGTGTGGGAGGGGAGACAGGGAGCGTGAAAGCTCCGATGGCACGGTGCTATGCTGCGGAAGCAACCAGAGGCTGGCGTGTGACAGCACAGGGAAGCCAAGGGGCGTGGGGAGGAGCTGGGGGGTCGCTGCAGACTCCGAGGCCGTACAGACTTTGGGAGGGCTTCAGGCCAAGGCAGCATCTGGAAGTCTTTGAGGAGAACAGTCATATGACTGAACCTTCATTTAAAAAGGATCTTCATGAAATTGCAAATCAAAACCACAAAGAGGTATCAACTGCTACCAGCCAGACTCACAAAAAAGGCTACAAGTAGTAAATGCTAGAGAGGGTGTGGAGAAAAAGGAACCTTCCTACACTGTTGATGGGAATGTAAACTAGTGCAGCCACTATGAAGAACACAATGGAGGTTCCTTAAAATACCAAAAATAGAGTTACCATCTGATCCAGCAGTCCCACTCCTGGATGTTTATCCGGAGAAAACTCTAATTCAAAAAGATAGACACAGCCCCATGTTCATAGCACACTGTTCACAATAGCCAAGATCTGGAAACAACCTAAGTGTCTATCAATAGATAAATGGATGAAAAAGGTAATGGTCTATGTATATAGTGGAATATTACTCAGGCATAAAATGAAAGGAAATAATGCTATTTGCAGCAACATGGATGGACCCAGAGATTATCACGTTAAAGTAAGTCAAAGACTAACATTATACAAATCACTTACATTTGGAATCTACAAAATAATACAAATGATTGTATTTACAAGACAGAAATAGACTCATAGACATAGAAAACAAATTTATGGTCACCTAAGGGGAAAGGAGGTGGAGGGAGGGATAAACCAGGGGTTTGGGACTAACACATACTGACTGCATGCATGTGTACTAGGTCGCTTCAGTGGTGTCTGACTCTCTGCAACCCTGTGACTATAGCCTGCCAGGCTCCCCTGTCCATGGGATTCTCCAGGCAAGAATACTGGAGTGGGTTGCCATGCCCTCCTCCAGGGGATCTTTCACACCCAGGGATGGAAGCCAGGTCTCCTGCGTTGCAGGTAGGCTCTGTACCGATTGAGCCAGCAGGGAAGCCTCATGTACACGCTACTATCTGTAAAAGAGATAGTCAACAAGGACTTAATGTAGAGCAGAAGGAACTCTCCTCAATATTCTGTAATAACCTATATGGAAAAAAAAATCTAAACAAGATTGGGTATATGTATGTGTATAACTAAATCATGTTGCCGTACAATGGAAACTAACGCAGTCTTGTAAGTCAACTATATTCTAATACAAAATAAAAACTATATTACATTGAAAAATAAATCCTTTGGGGGCACATTTAAAAGTAGTTTTTTCTGCACTGACTCGCAGAACATGTGTTTGACACTTTTGTTTTACGTGAAGCAAGATGCTATACAGTTTTATTTTGAAAATGCAATTGAAAGTTTATGAATCAGCACAGTAGAAGTTTTTTTCTTTAAAAAATCCCATGTCATAATTCAGAAACCCCCGAATGCTGCCAGGACTCATGGCAGTCTCACCAGTGACAAAGCTCTAGAGCTGGCAGTGCTGTGTGTCGGGGGAGGAAGTGAGGGCCCCGGGCGGGGGCCATCTCTTGGGCGGGGACCAGGTGAGTCAGATCCCTTCTGGCCTCCAGGTCACCACCCAGAGATGCTCACCGCTGGGGAGATGCATGAATGGATGGCAGGCTGCTGCCTTCACTCCATCCAGGAGTCCCTTCTTGGCTGATGCTACAGACACTCCCACAGACCTGAAAGAGCCCGACATCTGGCAGGAATGACCACCCGAGGGTCTCCGTGAGGCTGTGACTCTCCAGGTCAAGAGAGGAGTTGAGCAGCGCTGGCGTAGACAGCGGAGCCCGGATGGGGGAACCTTAGGAGGCCGCCTGAGTCCCAGCCCTCGGCGTCCTCACAGGTCCAAGCTCTGCTGCTGGAGGGACGAGCCCGAGATGGGGTTCAGGACAGGGGTCCCCTGCGTGTCTGCTCCTCTCTGGGCAGGTCTCCGGGGTCTCTGTGCGGAGGGGCGTCCTGTCCGCTGCGTGTGGTGGAGGAGGAACTCCGGCTCTGAAGTTCCTCTTCTGTGAACAGAGGCTCGTGCTCCCCCCCAGCCTCCCACGGGTCTCCCCGCAGCCCTACCTCCTTCTCGCCTTCCCCTTCTCTTTTCACACACAGGACGCCCAGACACCCTCCGGCTCAGACATGCTGCCGCTGCTGCTGCTGCCGCTGCTGTGGGCGGGTGAGTGGACGGTGGCGCGGGGGTGGGCGGGGCGGGCGTTCGGCTGACCCTCGATTCCCCGCAGGGTCCCTGGCTCAGGATTGGAGATACTGGCTGAAGATGCAGCGGTCCGTGTCAGTGCAGGAGGGCCTGTGTGTCCGGGTGCCTTTCTCCGTCTCCTATGCCACGCACGTCCTCAGTGCTTCTAGCCCTGTTCACGGCTTCTGGTTCCGGGAAGGGGCCAAAGTAGACTCGGATGCCCCCGTGGCCACAAACAAATTAGATAGTCAAGTTCAGGAGGAGACCCAGGGCCGATTCCACCTCCTCGGAGACCCCAGGAACAACAGGTGCTCCCTGGAGATCAGAGACGCCAGGAAGAGCGACAGCGGTTCCTACTTTTTTCACGTGGAAAAAGGAAGTATCAAATGGAGTTACACGTCTGAACTGTTATTCTTGAATGTGACAGGTAAGCCGAGGATCTAGGATAGGCCACAGTGAGGGTCGTGGGGGTCCCAGGGCAGGGCTGGGGTGGGGGCCCTTCCTGGGAGGTGTTGGGGGTAAAGCAGGTGGGGGCTCAGAGGGAGGGGCTGGACTGCAGCCTGAAGCTTCTCTGGGGGCCACACCTCAAAGCCTCCTCCCGATCCTCCGTCTCTCCCTCCTCTCACCAGCCCTCACCCACCAGCCCCACGTCCTCAGCCCGGGGGCCCTGGAGGCCGGCCGCCCTGGGAACCTGACCTGCTCCGTGCCCTGGGCCTGTGAGCGGGCCACGCCCCCCATCTTCTCCTGGACATCAGCTGCCCCCAGCTCCCTGGGCCCCAGGACCCCCTTCTCGTCGGTGCTCACCCTCACCCCACGGCCCCAGGACCACGGCACCAGGCTCACCTGCCAGGTGAAGTTCCCCAGAAGTGGAGCGATGGTGGAATGGACCATCCTGCTCAATGTCACCGGTGAATGAGGGGTGAGCATGCCCGGGGGGCCTGAGTGTGTGTGGGCAGGCGGGAGATGGGAGGTGCTCTTGTCCTGGAGGCCCAGCTAAGGAGGGGGCTAGAGGGATGTATGCCTGTCCCTCCTGGGTTCTGCAGATCTGAGTGGAGGGGCATGGATAGGATGACTACACTTCCGTCATCCCAGTCCTCCCGCTGAGGAAGGAAATCCTCTTTTCCCGTCCCAGGTGCTCCACAGGGGCTAGTGACCAGAGACTTCCAAAGAAACAGCACAGGTATGAAGAAGGGCCCCTCCTGGGCTGTCGGGGGCGAGGCTGCTTCCAGCTCAGGGCTGGGCTGGGTTCTGCTGTTCCCTGCCTCTCTCTGGACCCACCCCAGTGACCGGAGCCCCCAGTGGGTGAGCCCAGTGGTCCCTGCCCCTCCTCTGCCCCCATGGCCACTCTGCCAGCTGTCCCCACCGGCCCCTCACTCCCGTGGCCTTGTCCACTTCCTCTTCTGCTCCCCAAGAGCAGGGTGACATCCCCAGGGCAGAGTCCACCCCTCAAAGCGCCTCACCATCCACCACCTGACTCCTCCAGCTCTGCTGTTTATTTTCTCCCAATAGTTTGTAACTTATGCATGTTTTCATGGATCGGATATTTTGAAAGCATTTGTATTCACCATGACCATATATGGTGAAACCTTTTGCTCTTTGCTCATACCAGGTGAAAACTGGCATCTCTATATGGCAGTGCTTATTTAAATGCATTATTTTAATTGAGGAAAAATCAGATAAAATAAAATCGAGCATTTTAGCCAGTTGAAAACAGACAACAGTTGGCTTCGAGAATGTTCACGATGTACAAGTCTCACCACTCCCTAAATCCATCCATCTCAGATTTTCATCATCCCAGAGGGAAGCCTGGTGCCCATGAAGTAGTCACTCACCACACTGTCCTCCCCAGCCCTGGGCAACCACTGACCTGCTGTCCATGTCCATGGATCTGCCTATAGGGGACATTTCATACAAGTGGAATGTTACAGGACTGTGGCTTTTTCCATGTGGCTCATTTCTCATAAAAAACATTTTCCAGGATCACTTATTAAAAGTGTATCAGTATCAATTTCTTTTTGTCTGAATAATATTTCATTGCATGGATGGACCAGCTTCTGTTTATCTCTTTAGCAATGGATGGACATCTGAGTTATTTTTACTCTGGGGTTATTACAATGCTGCTATGAATGTTGCTATATATATATATATATATATATATATATATATATATATATATAAAATTGACTGCAGTTTTCTTGGGCATATACCTAGGAGTGAAATTTCTGGGTCAAATGGTAGATTCTACATTTAAATTTCTGAGGAAATGTCAGCTGTTTTTCACACTGGCAGGACCATTTTATGTTCCTGCCACCAATATATGTTGGTTCCAATTTCTCCAGACCCTTGTTGATATTGTTATTTTCCTTTAAAACTGCAAAAGACATTTGAGTGTGAAGAAATATCTCAACATGATTTCAATTATGTTTATGGAGTGAGTAATGATGTTATTCCTTTTTCAAAACAAAATTATTCGTCATTTGGAGAATTTTTTTAATCCATTGTTCCATTTTTTAAATTGCAATGTTTGTCTTTTTGTTGTTGAATTGTAAGATTTTTTAAATATAGGCTGGTTACTACATACATATCAAATCTATGATGTGCAAATATTTTCTCCCATTACATGGTTGTCTTTTCACTTTCTCAGTAGTGTCAATTGACAAACAGAATTTGTCATTTTCATGAAGTCCAACTCATGCATTTTCTGCACCGCCCCCCCCCCCCATTCAACTGCTGGATGGTAAGGGGGTGGGGATGGGGTGAGGCGTGGGCACATGGGGTCTGGCATCCAGTGAGTCAAGAAGGCCTGGAGTCCTCGTGGGAGAGGAAGGAGGCAGGATGAGGTCCAGCAGGTGAATTTGTCCTGGTCCCACTTTCCTGCAGGGCAGTCAGGGCGTGTGGCAAGGTGGTGCTGAAACCACAGGTGGCGTCTTGGGGGGCTCCAGTGAGCTCGGGTTCTTTATGACTCAGCACAGAAAGAATTCATCAAGAGGCAAAGTCACGGACAAGAAGTGATTTATTAGAACAGGACGCTGAGGAGGCTTAGAAGCCGAATTTCCAGAGGGTGCTGTGCCCCCAGATCTCAGTGGTTTAAGTCTCATAAAAAAGGAAAGGTGGAAACAGGGAGAAGTTCAGCTCCTTCTTCATTCTTGAGTAGACGTCACATTCCCTCACTAGGTCCCCTTCCACATCATGTTGCTGAGTCTGCTTGTCCCCACATGGTCAAGCTGGGGCTGCCGTGACATCATGGAAAATTCACGTCTCAGTACTGTGAGGGTCTTTCACTTTGAAGGGTCCTCCTCCATAATTTATTATTTGTGTGTGTGCAGACAGCACGTCCTAGGGCTCATTAACTGAGCTTGCTGGGCAGGGTGTGGGGTCTCCTGCCAAGGTCGTTTTATTGTTTGGGGCCAGGTCTCATGCTGCAGCTCCTGGTTTTGCACTCTCTTGAGTGCCCATTAACTTGCAGGGTCTCTCATACCTTCTTCTTTACCTATGATCCCCTAGTGGGAGTAACGATTTAATCACCTACTTTGTTCCTTTACTCTGTCCCTGCCAGTCCTCGTGGCCTTCTGGGAAGCAGCTGTCAAGATCGCACTCCTCTTCCTCTGCCTTCTGGCCCTCCTGTGAGCACTGCCCCGGGGGAGGGGAGGGGTGGGTACAAGGGGCTGCAGCCTTGAACCAGCACCACCGGGGGTGGGGCAGGGCCAGCAGGAGGCTGACGGGAAGGAGGGGTGGGGGTTGGCAGTGCTTAGGGTTCCCCTGGGGTATGGGCTGTTCTCTGTCTGGAGTCAAGGTTGGGTGAGTCTACTGCCCAGATGCACCCTGTTCTGGTCAGAGTGAAAGGGCCTGGTCTCTTCTCTCAGCGTGAGGTCCTGCAGGAGGAAGACAGCCAGGCCGGCAGGGGGCACCTCAGATGCAACCACCATCCCAGGTTAACCCTTCAGGTGAGTGAGGCAGGCATCTCACTGCCCAACGTCACACTGCACACTCCCCCAGGATGACCTTCAAGATTGCCCGGCTCAGCGTGACTGAAATAGAGCTGCCAGCTTCCTCCCCAAACTCACTTCTCTGCTTGGCTTCCTGCCACACTGATGACAAGGCAGCTTTAAGCCCAGATGTTGGGGAGGGGGCAGGCTTTCCGCCCTTTCATCACCCCCTTCCCTCTTCTTGGATCCAACAATTCACTAAGTGCCCCCCAACCTTCCTCCTAAGCACAGCTCATCTTGAAGCCCGTCTCCTCCCGGTCCTGACCCTGGTCCTTCCAGCAGCCTCATCTCTTCCCTGAGTCACTGAACCTACCCACCTCCTGCTTCCTCTCGCTGGGAAACACAGCCCTTGGGTCAGAGGACTCACCAGAGACGGTTCCCATCCACTTCCCACACAGTCGGAGCAGCTGTATTTCCTCCCCACTCAGGGGACGGAGGGGCCCACACCGCAGGCTGGATTCGAAGCCCTGGTGGGCCTTCCGTGCTGACTCTCCACACAGATTAGCCCTCTGTCTGCATCTCCCAACATCTCCATACCCAGCCTGGTCAGAATGTGACTCTGAGACTCTCTATGTGCAGTGCCTTCTCCTGAAACGCCCTTTCCTCCCCATCCCTGCCTCTCTGAGTCCTGAGCAACCTGCAGGCTCAGGCTTCAGCATCACTGTGTGTGTGTATGTGTGCACGTCATTGTCTGCTTTTGGCTGGAAGAGCCACATACGTTTAATTACAGAGTATTCATAAAGTACTACTGCACATCTACTTTAAGCCATCTTGTGGTAGGTGCCCAGTGGGCATCAGTGAATACAACATCAAAATTCTGTGTCATTGGGACTTCCCTGGTGGTTCAGTGGCTAAGACTTCCCTCCCAGTAGGTCAGCTGAGTTTGATCCCGGGTCAGGGAACTAGATCCCACATGCTGAAACTAAGAGTTCACATGGTGCAACCAGAGATCCTGCATGGGGCAACTAAGACAGCTAAATTTAAAAAAAGTAAATAAATATATATCTTAAAAAATCTGTCATTGAGTATACGGTACAGATTTGTGGTTGCCTAGGAGAAGGGGTGGTGGGGGACGGATGGACTGGGATTTTGTGGTTAGCAGATGCAAACTGTGATATATAGAATGGATAAACAGCAAGACCCTCATTCTACTGCATAGCACAGGGAATTATATTCAACATCCTGTGATAAACTATTATGGAAAAGAATTTGACAATGAATACATACGTATGTATACCTGTTAGGTAGTTAGAATAGGAAAAAGGAGTCCAGAACGGTGGTGACTAAAAGACAAGAAAGGGAAAAGCCCATGAAAATAGAAGAAAGGAAGGTCTGAGGACCTGAGTGAGGACCTCAGGTAGAACAAACAGCACTCCTGGCTAGCCCAGTTTACATAGGTCAGTCCCAGGGGGAGAAAAAACAATTAAAAGAGGAGCCAAAGGGCCTAAGGGGAGGGTGTCTCTCTTCTGCACACACGCATGGGCACATGCTCTCTCTTGCTCACTCTTCTCTTCACGTCTTTTGGGTCCGCATGCCCTCACGCCTCGAGGATGTATTTTCCTTTATTTTCTAAATAAAGCTGAGCTATAACACAGAGCTGTAACACTGATCTGTCTGAAAGCTGTAACATGGTCTGTCTGAAGGCTTTAACGTCCGTCACCTCAAATTTTTGTGGTGACGAGCCAGAACTGGGGAAATTACACACTCCCCTGACATAACTGAATCACTTTGCTGGATAGCAGAAACTAACACAACATTTTGTAAATTGCAAATCAACCATGGTGTGGCGTGGCATGCATGCTCCATCGTTTCCAACTCTTTTGTGACCGCATGGACTGTAGCCCGCCAGGCTCCTCTGTCCGTGGCATTTCCCAAGCAAGAATACTGGAGTGGGTTGCCATGACCTCCTCCAGCGGATCTTCCCAACACAGGGGTCCAACACATCAATAATAAAGTTTCTTTTTTACAGTTTTATCATGAAGAAGCTGTCCTTCTGGAAACAAAGATACAAACAAAAGGAATTAAGGGGGAAAATTGAGAGTGTTGGGTGGTAATATGTGTTTAGAGAAGCATCACCCAGGGAAAGACCACATGGCATTTAGGGGGACAATTTTGTATATCCGAGAGGTGAGGTTTGAGCCCAGACTTGATGGTGAGAAGGCAGGTTCTGCGGTCACCTGAGGGAGTTACCCCAAGACGGTGGGCGTGTGGGAGGGGAGACAGGGAGCGTGAAAGCTCCGATGGCACGGTGCTATGCTGCGGAAGCAACCAGAGGCTGGCGTGTGACAGCACAGGGAAGCCAAGGGGCGTGGGGAGGAGCTGGGGGGTCGCTGCAGACTCCGAGGCCGTACAGACTTTGGGAGGGCTTCAGGCCAAGGCAGCATCTGGAAGTCTTTGAGGAGAACAGTCATATGACTGAACCTTCATTTAAAAAGGATCTTCATGAAATTGCAAATCAAAACCACAAAGAGGTATCAACTGCTACCAGCCAGACTCACAAAAAAGGCTACAAGTAGTAAATGCTAGAGAGGGTGTGGAGAAAAAGGAACCTTCCTACACTGTTGATGGGAATGTAAACTAGTGCAGCCACTATGAAGAACACAATGGAGGTTCCTTAAAATACCAAAAATAGAGTTACCATCTGATCCAGCAGTCCCACTCCTGGATGTTTATCCGGAGAAAACTCTAATTCAAAAAGATAGACACAGCCCCATGTTCATAGCACACTGTTCACAATAGCCAAGATCTGGAAACAACCTAAGTGTCTATCAATAGATAAATGGATGAAAAAGGTAATGGTCTATGTATATAGTGGAATATTACTCAGGCATAAAATGAAAGGAAATAATGCTATTTGCAGCAACATGGATGGACCCAGAGATTATCACGTTAAAGTAAGTCAAAGACTAACATTATACAAATCACTTACATTTGGAATCTACAAAATAATACAAATGATTGTATTTACAAGACAGAAATAGACTCATAGACATAGAAAACAAATTTATGGTCACCTAAGGGGAAAGGAGGTGGAGGGAGGGATAAACCAGGGGTTTGGGACTAACACATACTGACTGCATGCATGTGTACTAGGTCGCTTCAGTGGTGTCTGACTCTCTGCAACCCTGTGACTATAGCCTGCCAGGCTCCCCTGTCCATGGGATTCTCCAGGCAAGAATACTGGAGTGGGTTGCCATGCCCTCCTCCAGGGGATCTTTCACACCCAGGGATGGAAGCCAGGTCTCCTGCGTTGCAGGTAGGCTCTGTACCGATTGAGCCAGCAGGGAAGCCTCATGTACACGCTACTATCTGTAAAAGAGATAGTCAACAAGGACTTAATGTAGAGCAGAAGGAACTCTCCTCAATATTCTGTAATAACCTATATGGAAAAAAAAATCTAAACAAGATTGGGTATATGTATGTGTATAACTAAATCATGTTGCCGTACAATGGAAACTAACGCAGTCTTGTAAGTCAACTATATTCTAATACTTCTAATATTCTAATAGTTCTAATATGGTTTTCATTACATTGAAAAATTAATCCTTTGGGGCACATTGAAAAGTAGTTTTGTCTGCACTGACTTGCATAACATGTGTTTGACACTTTTGTTTTACGTGAAGCAAGATGCTATACAGTTTTATTTTGAAAATGCATTTGAAAGTTTGTGAATCAGCATAGTAGAAGCTTTTTTCTTTAAAAAATCCCATGTCATAATTCAGAAACCCCCGAATGCTGCCAGGACTCATGGCAGTCTCACCAGTGACAAAGCTCTAGAGCTGGCAGTGCTGTGTGTCGGGGGAGGAAGTGAGGGCCCCGGGCGGGGGCCATCTCTTGGGCGGGGACCAGGTGAGTCAGATCCCTTCTGGCCTCCAGGTCACCACCCAGAGATGCTCACCGCTGGGGAGATGCATGAATGGATGGCAGGCTGCTGCCTTCACTCCATCCAGGAGTCCCTTCTTGGCTGATGCTACAGACACTCCCACAGACCTGAAAGAGCCCGACATCTGGCAGGAATGACCACCCGAGGGTCTCCGTGAGGCTGTGACTCTCCAGGTCAAGAGAGGAGTTGAGCAGCGCTGGTGTAGACAGCGGAGCCCGGATGGGGGAACCTTAGGAGGCCGCCTGAGTCCCAGCCCTCGGCGTCCTCACAGGTCCAAGCTCTGCTGCTGGAGGGACGAGCCCGAGATGGGGTTCAGGACAGGGGCCCCCTGCGTGTCTGCTCCTCTCTGGGCAGGTCTCCGGGGTCTCTGTGCGGAGGGGCGTCCTGTCCGCTGCGTGTGGTGGAGGAGGAACTCCGGCTCTGAAGTTCCTCTTCTGTGAACAGAGGCTCGTGCTCCCCGCCCCCAGCCTCCCACGGGTCTCCCCGCAGCCCTACCTCCTTCTCGCCTTCCCCTTCTCTTTTCACACACAGGACGCCCAGACACCCTCCGGCTCAGACATGCTGCCGCTGCTGCTGCTGCCGCTGCTGTGGGCGGGTGAGTGGACGGTGGCGCGGGGGTGGGCGGGGCGGGCGTTCGGCTGACCCTCGATTCCCCGCAGGGTCCCTGGCTCAGGATTGGAGATACTGGCTGAAGATGCAGCGGTCCGTGTCAGTGCAGGAGGGCCTGTGTGTCCGCGTGCCCTGCTCCGTCTCTTATGCCACGGACGTCCTCAGTGCTTCTAGCCCTGTTCACGGCTTCTGGTTCCGGGAAGGGGCCGATGTAAACTCGGATGCCCCCGTGGCCACAAACAAATTAGATAGTCAAGTTCAGGAGGAGACCCAGGGCCGATTCCACCTCCTCGGGGACCCCAGGAACAAGTGCTCCCTGGAGATCAGAGACGCCAGGAAGAGCGACAGCGGTTCCTACTTTTTTCGTGTGGAAAAAGGAAGTATCAAATGGAGTTACACGTCTGAACTGTTATTCTTGAAGGTGACAGGTAAGCCATGGATCTAGAAGAGGCCACAGTGGGGGTCGTGGGGGTCCCAGGGCAGGGCTGGGGTGGGGGCCCTTCCTGGGAGGTGTTGGGGGTAAAGCAGGTGGGGGCTCAGAGGGAGGGGCTGGACTGAAGCCTGAAGCTTCTCTGGGGGCCACACCTCAAAGCCGCCTCCCGATCCTCCGTCTCCCCCCTCCTCTCACCAGCCCTCACCCACCAGCCCCACGTCCTCAGCCCGGGGGCCCTGGAGGCTGGCCGCCCCGTGAACCTGACCTGCTCCGTGCCCTGGGCCTGTGAGCGGGCCACGCCCCCCATCTTCTCCTGGACATCAGCTGCCCCCAGCTCCCTGGGCCCCAGGACCCCCTTCTCGTCGGTGCTCACCCTCACCCCACGGCCCCAGGACCATGGCACCAGGCTCACCTGCCAGGTGAAGTTCCCCAGAAGCGGGGCGATGGTGGAGCGGGCCATCCTGCTCAATGTCACCTGTGAGTGAGGGATGAGGATGCCCGGTGGCCTGAGGGTGTGGGGGCAGCGGGACCAGGCTGGGGATGCAAGGTGCCCTTGTCCTGGAGGCCTGGCTAAGGAGGGGTCTAGAGGGACATATGGCCTGTCCCTGCTGGATTTTTGTGGCTTCTGGTTTTGTGTGGGGGGGGAGGGGACGACTACACTTATCTCACTCCATCCCCCCCACCCCCACTGAAGACAGAAATGGTCTCTTTCTGTCCTAGGTGCTTCACAGAATCCAAGCAATATCTGCGCAGGTGACAGCACAGGTAGGAAATAGCCCCGCCCCCCCACCATGGGGCATTGACTGGAGTGGGGCCTCTGTCAGCTTGGCTCAGAGCTGTACTTTCCACATTCAAATGATAGGGTTTGAGCGGGGTCCTGCATTGAGACAGAAGCCCCCATTAGGTCTTGTCCCCAATATCCTCCAACTCTGGTCTTGCCAAATGACCCACACCCTCCTCCCCACCCATTCTAAACATGCTGTTTGCTCTTCTACAATCACTGAAGTCCTTGGAAGATTTTTTTTTTTTAATGAATTAGACTTCATTTTGAGGAACACATTGAGGTTCACAGCAGAACTGATCAGAAGATAAAGAGACTTCCCCTGCCTTTCCTGCACTTTCTTACACACACACAGCCTCTCCCTTACCAACATCCCCCCGCTCCTAGGGTGCATGTTACAGTGAACTTCCACTGACACATCCTTTTCAACCAAAGTCCATGATTGACGTGAGAGCTCACTCTTGGCGTGGCACGCTTTGTGTGTGCCCGTGTGCTCAGTCATGTCTAGCACTTTGCCACCGCCTGGACTGTAGCTGCCCAGGCCCTCCTGGCCATAGAATTTTCCAGCCGAGGCTACTGGAGTGGGTTGCCATTTCCTCCTCCAGGGGATCTTCCCAATCCAGGGATGGAACCTCCGTCTCTTGTGTCTTCTGGATGGGTAGATGGATTCTTTACCATTGTGCCACCTGGGGTACATTTCATGGGTTTGGACAAAGATGTAATGATATGCATCCACCATTAGAGTGCCACTCAGAGTGGTTTCATTGCCCCCAATGTCACTTTGGGTCATTTTTTGACTGTCAGCACCACCCACCCACCCCCAGCCCTCCCGCTGACCCCTCTCTGGAGCCCAGTGCTCCCCTCGTTGCTCTAGCCCCACGGGTCATGACAACTGGACAGTGAGCCCCGTCAGCAGTCTCTCAGCAGTGCCCATCCAATCAATGACAAGTAATGTCCAGATGCACCTCATCTTGAGTGTTGGGGTCCCAGGAGGCTTGGTCAGGCAGGGCCAGGAGCACTCTCTGGATCTGCTGTGAAGGTTTGAGAAGGTTCCTTCTTCCAGTTCCTTCTAGAGGCTCAAAACACCATCGTGAACTCTGAGTGACAGCGCCAACAGAGGCCATCCCGAGCAGATTTAGACACCCAGCCTGGGAGGAAGGAGGGGCAAGGCCTTTCAGCATCCCCACAGACTCACTGTCTGTCTGTCTGTCTGAAATGTCCACGGGGCTCAGAGCTTCATGGTTCTGCTGTGGCCGGGCATAGGGTCTGTTACATCGAGACCGTGGATGGAGAAGTAGCTGACTCCAAGGAGAGCTGAAGTTTCTTGGAAGAGTGTGGGCAGGAGAGGTGGTACCACTTAGACCGTGCCCTTCTGCAAAAGGCTGAGGTTCTGAGAGGGGAGGGGGAACCGAGGGGCTGAACCCTGCACGTGAAGGGCGGGATACCCCTCTGCGTGCTGAGGAGAGGAGTCAAGGTTGGAATTCTCTCCAAGTGCCTCTCTCATCTGCAGGGGAATCGGGGACGGGGGCAGGAGTGACCGAGGGGGCCATCGCGGGAGCTGGTGTCACCATGCTGCTTGTTCTCTGCTTCGGCCTCATCTTCTTCGTGTGAGCTGGGCTGGGTGTGGGCCAGTGGAGGAGAAGAGGGGCCTGGAGGGGTTTCGAGGCCCCAGAGCAAGGGCAGGGTTGCAGGGGTAATGAGAATCCAGCTAGTAGCCACCTAGTCAGGCATGACGGTGCTCCCAGCCTTGGTCCTAGACATTCAGGACCCGATGGGGTGGGGGTGGGGGGCCTTGTTACAGTTTTATGATAAAGGCTCCTGGACTTACTCTACCCTTTAAAAATTTTTATTGGAGTATAGTTGGTTTATAGTGCTGTGTTAATTTTGGGTATACATCAAAGTGAATGCATTATGCATACACCTATATCCACTCTTTTTTAGGTCCTTTTCCCACATGAGTCATTACAGAGTATTGAGTAGAGTCCCTGTGCTATACAGTAGCTTCTTATTACTTATCTATTTTATGCATCATGCTCGTGCTCAGTCTGTAAGTCATAGCCGACTCCTTGGGGCTCCACGGACTGTAGCCCACCAGGCCCCTCTGTCCATGGGATTCTCCAGGCAAGAACACAGAAGCGGGTTACCATTTCCTTCTCCAGGGGATCTTCCCAACCCAAGGATCGAACCTGCATCTCCTGCATTGGCAGGCAGATTCTTTACCACTGAGCCACCAGGGAAGCCCGTTTTATGCACAGTACTGTGTATATGTCCATCCCAATGTCACAACTTATCCCTCCCCCTCTTTTCTGCCCTGGCAGCCATTAGTTTGCTTTCTACACCTGTGACTCTATTTCTGTTTTGTGATTAAGTCCACTTGTGCCATTTTTTTTGTAGATTTCATATTTTTTTTATATGATTTCATATATTTGTCTTTCTCTGTTTGACTTCAGGCTTCTCTAGTGGCTCAGATGGTAAATAATCTGCAGGAGAGCTGAATTTGATCCCTTGGTCAGGGAGACCCACTGGAGGAGGAAATGGCAACTCACTCTAATATTCTTTCCTGGAGAATTCCATGGATGGAGGAGCCTAGTGATTTACAATCCAAGGGGTTGCAAAGAGTTAGACACGAATAAGCAACCGATAATTGTCTGACTTACTTCACTTAGCGTGATAATCTCTAGGTCCATCCATGTTGCTGCAAAATGGCATTTCATTTTTTTTTTATGGCCAGTAATATTCCCTTGTAGGGCTTCTCAGGTGGTGCTAGTGGTAAAGAACCCACTTTCCAATGCAGAAGACGTAAGATACATGGATTCAATCCCTGGGTCAGGAAGATCCCCTAGAGGAGGGCACAGCAACCCATTCCAGTATTCTTGCCTGGAAAATCCCATGGAAGAAGAGCCAGGCAGGCTACAGTCCATAGGGTCGCAAACAGCTGGACACGACTGAAGCGACTTAGCACACATGCATGCAATATTCCATAGCATATAGGCACCACAACTTCTTTATCCATTCTTCTGTCAAGGCACATTTAGGTTACTTCCATGTCCGGGCTATTTTAAATAGTGCTGCAATAAACATTGGGGTGCATGCATTTTTTTGAATTGTGGTTTTCTTTGGATATATTGGTCTGGCCCTACACTTGACCTGCATTAATCACTCACTTGAGCCTCAAAAGAGTGACCTTGTGTCACAGACCCTCTCTCTCATCAGAGTGAAGACCTACAGGAAGAAGGTAGCCAAGACTGCAGTGGACATGGAGGACATCTACTCTGCTGCAAAGCCAGCTTCCTTGGTGAGTGACATGGGTATCCTGTCAATGCAGCCTGCCCTGTATATCCCCCCAGTGCGCAGGGTGGCCCATGGCCATGCTCCTTTCAGCATGTCCAGAAATGAGCTCTTCCTCTTCCCTTCTTGCTTGTTTGAAGATGTAAGATTCATTCTTATTCAAATATGTGAGGCCGACAGATCAGGAGATGACTGCCATGGAAAAAAGAGCTATTATAGTTCCCAAGAGGAGGGTTCATACCACACCACACAATCACACCATTGTTTTATTGTTTGAGGGGCAGGTCTTGGGCTTCTTTTGCATGGTTTTGTTGCTAAGCAAGCCTGCTTGGTTTTGTGGTTAAGCAGGAAAAGGGAAAGGCAATCCACTTCAGTATTCTTGCCTTGAGAACCCCATGAACTGTATGAAAAGGCAAAAAGATAGGACACTGAAAGATGAATTCCCCAGGTCAGTAGGTGCCCAATATGCTACTGGAAATCAGTGGAGAAATAACTCCAGAAAGAATGAGGAGATGGAGCCAAAGCAAAAACAACACCCAATTGTGGATGTGACTGCTGATGGAAGCAAGGTCCAATGCTGTAAAGTGCAATATTGCATAGGAACCTGGAATGTGAGGTCCATGAATCAAGGCAAATTGGAAGTGGTCAAACAGGAGATGGCTAGAGTGAATGTGGACATTTTAGGAATCAGCGAACTAAAATGGACTGGAACGGGTGAATTTAACTTGGATGACCACTGTATCTACTACTGTGGGCAAGAATCCCTTAGAAGAAATGGAGTAGCCATCATAGTCAACAAAAGAGTCCAAAATGCAATACTTGGATGCAATCTCAAAAACGACAGACTGATCTCTGTTCATTTCCAAGGCAAACCATTCAATATCACAGTAATCCAAGCCTGTGCCCCAACCAGTAATGCTGAAGAAGCTGAAATTGAATGGTTCTATGAAGACTACAAGACCTTATAGAACTAACACCCAAAAAAGATGTCTTTTTCATTATAGGGGACAGGAATGCAAAAGTAGGAGGTCACGAAACACCTGGAGTAACAAATTTGGCCTTGGAGTACAGAATGAAGCAGGGCAAAGGCTAATAAGAGTTTTGCCAAGTGAATGCATTGGTCATAGCAAACACCCTCTTCCGGTAACACAAGAGAAGACTCTACACATGGACATCGTCAGATGGTCAATACCAAAATCAGACTGATTATATTCTTTGCAGCCAAAGATGGAGAAGCTCTTTACAGTCAGCAAAAACAACACTGGGAGCTGACTGTGGCTCAGACCATGAACACCTTATTGCCAAATTCAGACTTAAATTGAAGAAAGTAGGGAAAACCACTAGACCATTCAGGTATGACCTAAATCAAATCCCTTACAATTATACAGTGGAAGTGACAAATAGATTCAAGGGATTAGATATGATAGACAGAGTGCCTGAAGAACTATGGACGGAGGTTCCTAACATTGTACAGGAGGCAGGGATCAACACCATCCCCAAGGAAAAGAAATGCAAAAAGGCAAAATGGTTGTCTGAGGAGGCCTTACAAATAGCTGTGAATAGAAGAGAAGCTGAAGGCAAAGGAGAAAAGGAAACATAAACCCATTTGAATGCAGAGTTCCAAAGAATAGCAAGGAGAGATAAGAAAGCCTTCCTCAGTGATCAATGCAAATAAATAGAGGAAGACAATAGAATGGGAAAGTCTAAAGATCTCTTCAAGAAAATTATGAGATACCAAGGGAACATTTCATGTAAAGATGGGCATAGTAAAGGACAGAAATGTTATAGACCTAACAGAAGCATAAGATATTAAGAAGAGGTGGCAAGAATACACAGAAGAACTGTACAAAAAAGATCTTCACGATCCAGATAATCACGATGATGTGATCACCAACCTAGAGCCAGACATCCTGAAATGTGAAGTCAAGTGGGCCTTAGAAAGCATCACTACGAACAAAGCTAGTGGAGGTGATGGAATTCCAGTTGAGCTATTTCAAATCTTAAAAGATGATGCTGTGAAAGTGCTGCACTCAATATGCCAGCAAATTTGGAAAACTCAGCAGTGGCTACGGGACTGGAAAAGGTCAGTTTTCATTCCAATCTCAAAGAAAGGCAATGCCAAAGAATGTTCAAACTACTGCACAATTGCACTCATCTCATACACTAGCAAAGTAAATGCTCAAAATTCTCCAAGCCAGGCTTCAAGAGTATGTGAACCGTGAACTTCAGATGATCAAGGTGGATTTAGAAAAGACAGAGGGACCAGAGATCAAATTGCCAACATCCGTTGGATCATTGAAAAAGGAAGAGAGTTCCAGAAAAACATCTACTTCTACTTTATTGACTATGCCAAAGCCTTTAACTGTGTGGTCCACAACAAACTCTGGAAAATTATTAAAAAGATGAGAATACCAGACCTGCCTCTTGAGAAATCAGTATGCAGGTCAGGAAGCAACAGTTAGAACTGCACATGGAACAATAGACTGGTTCCAAGTAGAAAAAGGAGTATGTCAAGGCTGTATATTGTCACTCTGCGTATTTACCTCATATGCAGAGTACATCATGAGTAACGCTGGGCTGAAAGAAGCACAAGCTGGAATCAAGATTGCTAGGAGAAATGTCAATAACCTCAGATATGCAGATGACACCACCCTTATGGCAGAAAGTGAAGAACTAAAGAGCCTCTTGATGAAAGTGAAGCATGAGAGTGAAAAAGTTGGCTTAAAACTCAACATTCAGAAAACTAAAATCATGGCATCCGGTCCCATCACTTCATGGCAAATAGATGGGGAAACAGTGGAAACAGTGAGAGACGTTATATTTTTGGGCTCCAAAATCACTGCAGATGGTGACTTCAGCCGTGATCAAAAGACGCTTGCTCCTTGGAAGAAAAGTTAGTGACCAACCTAGACAGCATATTGAAAAGCAGAGACTTTACTGTGCCAGCAGAGGTCCGTCTAGTCAAAGCTGTGGTTTTCCCAGTGGTCACGTGTGGATGTGAGAGCTGGACCATAAAGAAGGCTGAGCACTGAAGAACTGATGCTTTTGAACTGTGGCGTTGGAGAAGACTCTTGAGAGTCCCTTGGACTGCAAGGAGATCCAACCAGTCCATCCTAAAGGAGATCAGTCCTGAATATTCATTGGAAGGACTGATGCTCAAGCTGAAACTCCAATACTTTGGCCACCTGATGTGAAGAATTGACTCATTTGAAAAGTCCCTGATGCTGGGAAAGATTGAAGGCAGGAGGAGAAGGGGACGACAGAGGATGAGATGGTTGGATGGCATCACTGACTCAATGGACATGAGTTTGGGTAAACTCCAGGAGTTGGTGATGGACAGGGAAGCAAGGTGTGCTGCAGTCCATGGGGTTGCAGAGTTGGACACGACTGAGTGACTGAACTGAACTGAAATCTGTTTTCTCGAGTAATCACTAACTTACAGGGGTCTCCCATATTTTTCTACTTACAATCCCCTAGTGGGATTAACTGTTTAATCACCTGTTCTGTGCCTCATTCTGTCCCTATCACTGGGGAGTAGCTACCTTCCTTGAATGTTTCCCTGTAACATAATAATATTTTCTACATAGGGCTTCCCAGGTGGCTCAGTGGTAAAGAATCTGCCTATAGTGCTGGAGAGGCAGATGTGGATTCAATCCCTGAGCCAGTAACATAATATTATTTTCTACATAGGTCTATGTGAGTGTTCTGTAGAGTTGGAAAACAATCTGTAGGCTTATATCTGTTGGATGATTGCATAAACAGAACCTTGAGAAATGTTTAATAACAGAATGGAAGAATGAATAAATGCTTGTCCCAGAGTCAAATTCATTTCATGGGCCCTCTCTGCCTTCTCATCCCAAAACTACCTTGATGTGACCCCTTTCTTTGCTTTCCGCACAGGATAGCCAGCAAGAATCCAAGTCAGAGGAATTTTCTGACCCCACAAGTTACACAGGGGCCACCCCCTCTTTGGAGTTGGAGCAGGAGTTGCATTATTCCTCCATCATCTTCCGTGGGGAGAAGCCTCGGGAGAGCCCTCAATCGGAATATGCGGAGATCAGGACCAAGTGAGGCACCAGAGGCAGTATGAGCCTCAGCATCGGGACGTCCATATCCTCCGCAGGAAGGAGGACCCACAGGCTAATTCTTGGAGACCTAACATCCCCATCAGCAGTGGGTTCATGAACTACTGCCTCAACGTTTCCTGCTATATGTCTTAGGCTTTGCAATCACAGAGACCTGGGATCACATCCATGCTCTTTCATTTATTAAGAAAGTAGCATCTTGTGACCCAACTACCCTGACCCCCATCCACCATGCCTTGGTTTCCTGCTTTGGTGAAACAGACATGAGAAGTCCAGCCTCACAGGGCTGTTGTGAGGAATAAATGGAAGTATGAAATATGCAACAGAAGTCTTGATACCTTGTGACTTTTGACTGACACACACACACACACACACACACACACACACACACACACAGAAACACACACAACCTGAAAGTTGTGAGTTATGCTTTATTTGGGGATCTTACTGAGGACTATAGCCTGGGAGACAGCCTTTTAGATAGCTCCGAGGAGCTGCTCTGTAGAGGTAAGGGAGGAGCCAGGATATATAGGCGTTTTTGCTGAAAACAAATGTGTAACTGAACATCAAAAGATCACTGCTAATCACAAAAATCAGATACCTCAAGGTAATGATTTTAGTGCTTTTCTATGTATGGGAGGATGCAAAAGTCTGAGTCCATTGGAAATCATTCCTTAGATATGCATTTTAATAATCTAAGGCAAGTATTGCATTTTTCTCCATCCTGAGTTCTCCTCAGGGCACAGCAGTGGGGCAGGCTGCTGTGGCTGATGGCTTGATGGTGGGCAACATTATTATTTTGTTTGCACATTTCACCCAGAGCTGGGTCCGTCCTGTCCCCGGGTACCACATCGGCTACATCTGTCAGTCTCTCTCTTACTCAAAACTCTTCCTTGGATCCCTGGCTTGACCTCCAGCATCATCTCTCTCCATTCCTGAATCTTCCTTTTCCATCCTCTCTACCTCCTACTACTCCTGCTATAGGCAAAATCTAATAATGCCATTTAGAGAATTTCCTAAAGCTTAGAGCTGACCATAACCAAAAGAGTCTTCTCTCTTATTAATCCAACAGAAGAATTTGCAAGCTTCTCAACCTGATATTCCAGGTCAGAAGTCAGGAGACTTGGTAAAGGGACAAATAGTAAGTATTTAGGCTTTTCAAGCTGTATGGTTCCTGTTGCATTTCCCAGCTTCTGCCCTCTGTTCACAACTATAAATCCCCCAAATGGTGCAAGAGACAACCAAGGAGAATTCTGGAAGGTGGTAGGAAGAAGGCAAGTGGGCTTCAGTTCAGTTCAGTCGCTCAGTCATGTCTGACTGTGACCCCATGGTCTGCAGCATGCCAGGCTTCCCTGTCCATCACCAACTCCAGGAGCTTGCTCAAACTCATGTTCATCTAGTTGTTGATGCCATTCAATCATCTCGTCCTTTGTCGTCCCCTTCTCCTCCTGCCTTCAACCTTTCCCAGCATCAGAGTCTTTTCCAATGAGTCAGTTCTTTTCATCAGGTGGCCAAAGTATTGGAGGTTCAGCTTCAGCATCAGTCCTTCCAATGAATATTCAGAACTGATTTCCTTTAGGCTTGACTAGTTGGATCTTCTTGCAGTGCAAGGGACTCTCAAGAGTCTTCTCCAACAACACAGTTCAAAAGCATCAATTCTTCGGCGCTCAGCTTTCTTTAGTAAATATTTAGGCTTTTCAAGCTGTATGGGAATTCCTGTTGCCTTTCCCAGCTTCTGCCCTCTGTTCACAACTATAAACCCTAAGGATGATGCAAGAGACAACCAAGGAGAATTCTGGAAGGTGGTAAGAAGAAGGCAAGTGGGCTTAGGACCCCAGGAATGGAGGAACAATACAGAGTCAGGGCACCTCAGTTCCCACAATGCAGCCCACTTAGACCAACCACCATCTCTCGAACCCTGACTGAGAGACAGTCAAGGGTCATTGCCATATCGTCAGGGATGCACACACCCGTCCCATCCTCCAGGGACATCCTCTCTCCCTCCTCGGGGCTCCCACAGCCCGGTCCTCCCGGGTGGGTCAGCCCTGGCCACGCCCGACTCTGCAGCCCCTCCCCCACCCGGCTGGTGCTCCCCCAGTGTCAGCCCCACCCCCTCCCCACCCCCCAGGAAGCTCTGCTGGACCGGTGGCTGCAGGAGCAGCAACTGGCTCAACCAGCAGAGGGCCAACCCGAGCAGAGGCCAGGTCAGCACCGCCCGAAGTAAGAGCCCGCTGGGATCAGAGCCAGGGCAGAGGGGAGAAGAGGTTTCCTGGGGTTGCCACACCGTTCCTTCCCTTTTCTCCTCCCGACCTCAGAGGCGTCCCATCCTCCCTTCTTCCAGGAGGCCCCGTGGGTTCACTCGCTAGGGCTGCTTCAAGGAAGTTCCATTGGCTGGCAGGTTTGAAGAGCCGAAATTCATTTGCTCAGGAATCTGGAGGCTGGAAGTCTGAGATCAAGGTGTCCGTGGGGCTGGCTCCTTATTTTTTCTTCATTTTTACATTTTATTTTATTTATTTATTTATTTTTTCATTTATTTTTATTAGTTGGAGGCTAATTACTTTACATCATTGCAGTGGTTTTTGTCATACATTGAAATGAATTAGCCATGGATTTACATGTATTCCCCATCCCGGTCCCCCCTCCCACCTCCCTCTCCACCCGATCCCTCTGGGTCTTCCCAGTGCACCAGGCCCGAGCACTTGTCTCATGCTCATTTTTACATTTTAAAAAATTAACTTATTTTCGACTGTGCTGGGTCTTTGTTGCTGCCGTCTCAGCTTTCTCCAGTTGCAGCGAGTGAGGGCTACTCTTCATTGCAGGGCACAGGCTACTCAATGTGGTGGCTTCTCTTGTTGAGGGGCACGGGCTCGAGGCCCGCGGGCTTCGGTAGTTGCAGCTCCAGGGCTCTAGAGCACAGAGTCAGTAGTTGCGGTGCACGGGCTTATTTGCGCTGCAGCATGTGGGATCTTCCTGAGCCAAGGATTGAACCCGTGGCCCCTGCGTTGGATTCTTAACCACTGGACCACCAAGGAAGTCCCTAAGTTTTAAAACAATTTTTAATTATAGTTGCTTTACAATGTTGTCTTATTACTGCTGTACGGCAAAGTGATTCAGTTATTCATATATGTATACAGCCTTCTGTGGCCTCTCTTCTTGGCTTGTAGACAGTCGTCTTCTCCCCATGTCTCCACATGGTAGCTTCTCAGTGTGTGTCTCTGTCCTAACCACTTCTTCTTCCATGGACACTGGTCCTATGAGGGCCAACCTCAATGACCTCATGTTACCTTATTAACCTCACACATACAGTTGTGAGAGCTGGACTAAGCGCCAAAGGATTGATGCCTTTGCACTGTGATGCTGGAGAAGACTCCTGAAAGTCCCTTGGAGAGCGAAGAGATCAAACCCGTCTATCTTAAGGAAAATCAACACTGAATACTCATTGGAAGGACTGATGCTGAAGCTGAAGCTCCAGTAATTTGGTCATCTGATTCAAACACTGGAAAAGTCCTTAATGCTGGGAAAGATAGAGCGCAGAAGGAGAAGAGGGTGTCAGAGGATGACATGGTTGAATGGTATCACTGATTCAATGGGCATGAACTCGGGCAAACTTTGGGAGATGGTGAAGGACAGAGAGGCCTGGCCTGCTGCAGTCCATGGTGTTGCAAAAGGTTGGACACGACTGGGCAACTGAAAGATAAAAACAACCTCTTTAAAGGCCCCATCTCCAAATGCAATCACATTTAGAGGCACTGGGGGTTAGGATTTGCAGGTATGAAATTTTGGTGGGGGTGATACAGTTCAGCCCCAACACCCCATGAACAACGGGGATGCAATTCTGCACAGAATGGTTAAGCCCCTTCCCAAGGTGGCACAGCATGCATTAGGGAGCTAGGCTCGGCCCAGAGCCATCTGACTGCAGCGTGTGTGCCCCGTACCCCCTCTTTGGAGGCCTCAGATGAGACTTTGGTATCTTAGGTATCAAAGGTACCACTGACCACCAGGAGCTTCTCACTGAAGGAGGGACTCAGAGAATGGGCAGAGCCAGACATGTGACCTGCAAGACGGCCACATCAGAGTCTGTAGAAAATGCCCAGGACGAGGGTTGAACATTATTATTCCTGCACGTGACAGATGAAAAAGCTGAGGCTTGGAGGCGGAGAAGGGCAGACCCACCTGCCCCCAAAGGCTGTCATCTTGCTCTCAGTGCCTGGCTCCCAGGCCTGGCGTGTGCAGTCAACACCAGGGGGGCCAGGGCAGGCGGCTGTTACTAGGTCAAGAAGCCCCATGCTCCCCTGGGATCATTTTTTTGTGGCACCTTCATTCTGGTCCCACTCACTCTGGCCATTTACACCTGGGAACTCACCTTCTAACTGCACAAAGCATTCGAGTTTTTCCTCCAAACACCGAGCTGGCTACCCCCAGCTCATACTGTATCAATGGGACCTGGGGCGTCAAAGAAGTTCTCCAGGATGAGACAAAGTCTGTCCTGTTCTTCCTTGGACTCCAGTCCCTGAAAGCAGAGATGCTCATGTGTGCCGTTGTCACGTTCATCTCAGTAACTAATTACCACCTCCTTCATCCGGGGTGGGGGGGACCCATCCCCATCTTTCATGCCTGGAGCTTCCCCAGCTGCCCCTCCTGCCTCCCACACCTGGTGGGGACTGACTGGCCTGACTTCCAGCTGTGGACAGAGGTGCAGGGGGGTCGGGTGGAGGACAGGGAGCCGGGAGCCTCCCCTGGGCAGTGCTCGTTGCTTGTGATCCCCAGCGGGCCTCATGTGGACGGTTCCTCTCCAGGATTCCCGTGCTCCGGCAGCCTGTGGGTGCCGAGTTCCTCTTTTGTGGTCTGTCACTTTCTGACCTCAGCCCTGGGCTTCCCGTTGGGGCTTCCTCTAAATCCTGTGATACCAAGGCCCCAAGACTGTCACCCCAAAGATGCTGCTGCTGCCGCTGATGCTGTTGCTGCTGTGGGTAGGTGAGCAGGGCAGGGGCTCGACTGATACTCATCTCGCCGCAGGGTCCCTGGCTCAGGATCCGAAATACCGGCTGGAGGTGCAGCCGTCCGTGTCGGTGCAGGAGGGCCTGTGTGTCCATGTGTCCTGCTCCGTCTCCTATCCCCAGGAAGACTGGGGGGACTCTGACCCAGCTCACGGCTACTGGTTCTGGGAAAGGGCAGATTCCCCTGAAGATCCACCAGTGGCCACAAACAACCTAGAACGTGCGGTGGCCAGTGAGACCCGGGGCCGATTCCTCCTTGTTGGAGACCCCCGGGCCTACAATTGCTCCCTGGACATCAGAGACGCCCAGAGGAGGGACACGGGGACATACATCTTTAGGTTGGAGAGAGGGCCTACTGTGAGATATAGTTATGCATTGAATCTGCTCTCCGTTCATGTGAAGGGTAAGCATGGGGTCAAGGGGAGGACACACATACAGGGGTACTGAGGGTCCCCAGGGCAGGGTGGGAGGGGAACCCTGTCTTCTCATCCCGGGGGGGGGCCAGGGATACAAGATGCTGGGGAACAGATGCTCTGAGGGGCACACAGGGGTCCCTGCTCTAGTCCTGGGTCTGCTCTCTCCAGCTCTGACAGCCACACCTGACATCCACGTCCAGGGGACCCTAGCATCCGGCCGCCCCACCAACTTCACCTGTGCGGTGCCATGGGCCTGTGACAGGGGGACGCCCCCCACCTTCTCCTGGACTGGGGTCGCCCTCACCTCCCTGCACCCCGAGAGTCCCCTCTCCTTAGTGCTCACCCTCACCCCGAGGCCCCAGGACCACGGCACCAACCTCACGTGTCATGTGAACTTTTCCGGAGCCGGTGTGAGCACAGAGGCGACCATCAGGCTCAATGTGTCCTATAAGTGGGGGGCCAAGAGGCTGGGTCCCCAACAGTGTTGGGGAGAGGGAGGCAGGGCCTGAGCTTCTGGAACTGGGAGGATGGAAAAGGACACCCCACTCCACTTGCTTTCCATTTCTGATGTTTCTGGGAGGAAGGGCCTATGTTCCTACCCCTGAAAAGGGACAGTTATGTCTGTCTGTCCAGATGCACCCCAGGAGCTGACCATCAGAGTGTACCAGAAAGAAGGCGCAGGTATACGTCAAAACCTTTCTTCTTGGGGCAGTGACGGAAGTGGGGTCTGTCTCTGACCTTCCAAGCAGATCTGGGGTTCAGGACTCAGATGGAAAGTGTGGGAAGAGCAGGGGTGGGAAGCCCCCCACACTGGCTCATGGGCTTATGAACCGGCCTCGCCCTTCCGCTGACCCTGTTCTCATGGATGTTGCCCGGCCTCTTCCTCACCTAATGGACATAACTGTCCCCACTGTCTGGGCTATATCTTCCTCCCAAATCCTGCCTTCTCTCTCCCTAGGGGTTGGCTCTCACTGGTTGGCAAGAGCCAGCTGTGCAACTGTGTCCATCTTTTCCCACTTCTGGGTTCAGTGGCTTCAAATGAGGCGTTTGAAATTGGCCACGATGGGAGTTTTTACACAGAGGAAATCAACAGCACTCTGAACCAGGACAATATGAGCCACTAAGCAATGGAAGAGACAGACAGACAGACAGCGAGGCTAGCTTTCTCTCTGTCTTGCCAGGACCCGAAACTCTGGACAAAAGCCAGTCTCTTTCAGTCCAGGAGGGCCAGTTCCTGCGCCTGGACTGTGTTCCTGACAGCAACCCTCCTGCTATGATCAGCTGGACCCGAGGGAGCCTGACCCTGAGCCCCTCAAATTCCTCGAACCCTGGGGTCCTCGAGCTGCCCCGGGTGGAACTGAGGGACCATGGGTTATATGTCTGCCGAGCTCAGCATCCACTGGGCTCCAAGGAAGCGTCTCTGAGCTTCGTTGTGAGAAGTGAGTTGGACACACCCGGGGGAAGGAGGCCGGGGCTCCAGGGAGGGGAGAGGCGCCCCTGATCCCTCCCATGTCTCCCCACAGCCCCACTGCAGCTTCTGGGCCCCTCCTGCTCCCAGGAGGACGAGGGTCTGAGCTGCAGCTGCTCCTCCCGAGCCTGGCCAGCCCCCTCCCTGCGCTGGCAGCTGGGCGAGGGGCTGCTGGAGGGGAACTTCAGCAACGCCTCCTTGGAGGTCGCCTCCAGCTCTGCCGGGCTCTGGGCTAATAGCTCCCTGAGCCTCCGCGAGGGGCTCAGCTCCAGCCTCAGACTCAGCTGCGAGGCCCTGAATGCCCACGGGAAACAGAACGTGAAGATCCTGCTGCTGCCAGATCTGGGGAAAGGGGAAGCCGTGCATCTGGGTCCTAGAAGACGTGGAGAGGAAGAGAAATGGGCGTGATTCTGGGCTAAAGGGGACTAGCATTCAGGGTCCTCTGTGGGGTGGCTGGGGAGGGGGGCACAGGAGGCTGCAGTCGTATTAAAGGATGGTGGACACAGCGCCGAGTCCTGGGGAAAAGTGGGCAAACTCGTGGGTCATGGATGTGAGAAGGCTGGGGGCTCAGGCGCCTGCTTGAGGGGGCTGGAGGTCACCCCAGGTCTCATATCTGCAGGGAGTCCAGGACCCAGGACCGGCGTGGTTTGGGGGGCCGTCGGGGGAGCTGGTGTCACAAGCCTGCTTGCTCTCTGTCTCATCTTTGTGTGAGTGGAGGCCTCCGCTGGGGACCACTATGGGGGTGGGTGCAAGGGGCGGACGAGGGGCGCGAAGACTCCAAGAATCTTCAAAACTCAAAGCTCAGGACTTCCCTGGTGGTCCAGTGGTTAAGAATCCGCCTGCCAGTGCAGGGAACACGGGTTCGATCCCTGGTACGGGAGGATCCTACATGCCGAGGGACAACCAGGCCCGTGTGCCACAACTACTGAGGCTCACTTCCTAGAGCCCCGTGCTCTTCGACTAGAGAAGCCACTGCAGTGAGAAGCCCATGCAGGGCGCCTAGAGAGGAGGCCCCACTGGCCACAGCTAGAGAAAACGCCCCTAGGCAGCAAGGAAGAGCAGCACACCCAAAAATAAGCATTAGTTAATTAAAAGCAAAACAGAACACCTCAAAGCCCAGAGCTGAGGGCACTGGTGGAGTGATGAAGCTGAAAAGGAGGTGGCTCGCTTAAGTGCCAGCGGGAATGTAGCCTCCTGACATGGTGGTCCAGTGTGGACCGTCCGGGAGGAGGGAGCTTGCTTTCTGGTCACGGTCTCTGCAGCTGGACACCGGCCTGAGCTCAGGAAGTCCCCCTGGACTCCCTAGAGGAGCCACCTTAAGGGTCCTGGTCTCTTTTTTCAGGGTGAAGGTCTACAGGAAGCAGCCGTTGGAGAGAGCGAAGATCTACAGGAAGAAGTCGGCGGCGAGAGCGCCGAGCCAAGATGGCGACCGCCCAGCGTCGAGTCCCGCGTCCCGGGTGAGTGACGTGGGCGGCTGTCTGTCCAGTGTCTCCACCGGACCCCTCTGCCCACACAGGGGCCACGGCAGCCTACTCAGCGCCTCAGAAAAACGCGTTCTTCCCCGCGCCCCTCTCCAGGTTTGCTTTTCCTCTCAAGTTTCTTGTTGCCCTCAAATCACCCTCTCCTCTTTCCGCCACTCCCCGGAGCCTAGAATTCACCAAGTCCTGTCCATCTTCCGTTTAGCAAAGCTCTTCTCCTTTTGGCCCCTTCCCTGCTGAGTCCTCACTCTCTCCTGGGTCACTGGCTCCCCGTCTCCTCCCCCAATAAGCTCTCAGCAAGAAGTTCCCCAAACAGCTTTTCTTTGTGGTCACCCTGTGCTTGCCCCCTACAGTCTAGATCCAACAGAAATACGATGTGAGCCATGAGCATAACTTAAAACCTAGCCATGTTAAAAAAAAAAAAAAAAAAAGGAGAAAGGAACGTGAGATCGGTTTTTATATAATATTTTGCTTAACTGAATGTAGCCAAAGTATTATCATTTCAAACATCATGTCATCAATAGTCAACGTAAACGTACAAATTATTAATATTAACTGGATATTTTCTTTCTTTTTCTTTCTCTCGTCCTTCCTTCCTTTTTCTTTCTTTCTCTTTCTCTCTTCCTTTCCTTCCTTCCCCTTTCTTTCCCTATCTCTTTCTCCCTTCCTTCTTTCCTTCCTCTGCCCGCCCTCCACCCCGCTTTCTTTCTCTCTTTTTCTTTCTTTCTACAAAGACTTTGACCTCCAATATTCATTTTTGACCTCCCAACACATTTTTGTCTGATTCACTACATTTCTTGGGTTCAAGAGCCACACATGGCTAGGGGCTCCTGTATTGGACAGCACAGGCCGAAGGAATCAAGCCCAGATTCTTCAGTCTGGTATTCTGTAATCTGCCCCTGCCCAGTTCTCCCACCAGCATCCTGTCCCTCCCCACAAATGAGCTTATTGTGTTCTATGATATTATTATCTATAATAAGAAATATATATTTGATCTTTATCCCCTATTCCTGGCACAGAACTCCTGGAATGCTTGAACCTTGCAGTGATGGGAGTGTTAAAGGGGTCTCTTGTTATTTTTATGGGGTGACTTTTGGAAAGTACCTAAGGATAAGGCCTGGTTGCCAGGAGAACCAAGCAGAGGAGATTGGAACTTTCAGTCCCGCCCCCTGACCTCCAGGGATGGAAGAGGCACTGGAGGATTTCAGTCACCAAAGGCCAATGGTTTAGTCAGTCATGTCTGTGGAGTGAAGCCTCTCTAAAACCCTCAAAGGATGGGGTTTAGAGAGCTTCTGGGTTGGTGAACAAGTGGAGATTTGAGCAGGACAAAGTAATTGGAGAAGGCATGGAAACTGTCCTTTCCTTATACCTCGCCCTCAGCATCTCTTCCATCTGGCTGTTTCTTAGTTAATTTGTCCAGTCACTCAGTTGTGATCAACTCTTTGGACCCCGTGGACTGCAGCAGGCCAGGCTTCCCTGTCCTTCACTGTCTCCCTGAGTTTGCTCAAACCCATGTCCATTGAGTTGGTGATGCCATCCAACCATCTCATCCTCTTGTTGCCCCCTTCTCTTCCTGCCCTCAATCCTTCCCAGCATTGGGGTCTACATAAGTTCATTTGTATCATTTTTTTTTTTTAGATTTTACATATAAGTGATAGCACATGTTTGTCTGTTCAACTTGGTTTACTTAGTATGATAACCTCTAAGCCCATCCATGTTGCCACAAATGGCTTTATTTCATTCTTTTCTTTAAAAATGTATTTTGTTGAAGTATAGTTGATTTACAACGCTATGTTAATTTCTGCTGTACATCAAAGTGATTCAGTTATGCATACATATATAAATATATATACATTCTGTATCCTATTTCTTCCCATTATGGTTTGTCAAGGTAATTGAAAATAGTTCCCTGTGCTACACAGTAGGCCCTGTTGTTTATCCATCCTATATATAATAGTTTGCATCCACTAATCCCAAACTCCCAATCCATCCTGCCCTCACCCCACCCCCCTCCTTGGCAATCACAAATCTGTTCTCTATGTCTGTGAGTCTGTTTCTGTTTTATCTCATTCTTTTTTAAGTGTCATGCCAATTGATGTCATCTAAATATTCCCCTGCCCTACACCAGGCAGACTGTCATCACACTTCCCTATGGTAACCACAGGCCCATCCCCCCAACACCGTGAGCTCCTGGAGGGCAGTGCAGGTCTCCTGCAGACCTCTGTGACTCTCGCCCACAGCACCCTGCTTCTGTCCATCAAAACACAATTTGCAATTTGATAAGTTTTGAGTGTGTGACAAGTTCATACTGTCTCCTTGTTCTGATAGACATTCCAAGGTCGGGACCTTGTCTGTGGAAGAATCACTTCACTTTGCTCCCTCTATTTTCCTATCTGTAAAATGGGGATAACATTTATATCACCCATGGAGGGAGGTTGTAAGGATTCAGTGAGATGAATAATAAGAACAGACCATTATGATTAAAGGTATGAATGAATAAAGGCGTGACTGAATGAGCGAATCCTCAGGAAATGGGTGTGAAAATGGATAAGTGAATAAATGCCCTCCTCAAGCCCTGGGTTCCCTTCTCCAGACCTCAAAGGCCGGCTCAAGTCATTCTGTCTTCTCACTCAGGGTCACTTCAGTAAATCCTGGTCAGACAGCCCCTTGGACCACCAGACCCCATTTCTGGCTGCTTCCACCTCAGAGAAGGAACAAGAGCTCCATTATGCAAGCCTCAGTTTCCACAGACCAGGGACCCACAACTTTCAGGTCCAGGACACCACCGAGTACTCAGAGATCAAGATTGGGAAGTGAGAGGACCCCGCCTCCACCCCCAGAAAATGCACCTCTGAGGGAAATGTGTGTCAGATACTGATTCTTGAAGACTTGGCTGCCTGCTGAGCGCAAAGCTTATAAGTGAGAAGGTGAAGTTCCTTGGAGTGGCTGAAGGTCACAGAGAATCCTGGATTCACATCCAGGCTTGGGTAATGCTAAGGGTGTTATGTCAAGCAAGTCAAAAGAGTTTACCTCTCTGTGCCTCAGTTTCCTCCTCTGTAAAGTGAGGATAATATTCCTCAGTTCAGTTCAGTTCAGTCACTTAGTTGTGTCCAGTTCTTTTTGACCCCATGGACTGCAGCATGCCAGGCTTCCCTGTCCACCACCAACTCCCAGAGCTTGCTCAAACTCATGTCCATTGAGTTGGTGATACCATCCAACCATCTCATCCTCTGTTGTCCCCTTCTCCTCCCACCTTCAGTCATTCTCAGCATCAAGGTCTTTTCCAGTGAGTCAGTTCTTTGCATCAGGTGGCCAAAGTATTGGGAGTTTCAGCTTCAACATCACTCCTTCCAAAGAATATTTAGGACTGATTTCCTTTAGGATGGATTGGTTTGATCTCCTTGCAGTCCAAGGGACTCTCAAGAGTCTTCTCCAACACCACAGTTCAAAAGCATCAGTTCTTCCGCTCTCAGCTTTCTTTATGCAAGCATGCACTGTGGGATATGACTGACGTGACTTAGCACACACACACACATGCAGTGTGGCTGCTGTTAACCATATTTGTGATACGTTACCTCAGAGTGGAGGGAGATGTCAACTTTTGATTCTACCACATACTTCTATTTTGCCTGACTAGTTTTTGACTATTCTTAACAACATGTATTATTTTAGTTTTTTGTTTTTCTTTTCTGGTGGGGTGTGACATGTCTTATTTTTTTTTTTAAAGTAAATCTAAATGTAATTCTCTGGGTGGAGAAGATACTTCCCAATACATGTATCTAACAAAGGACCCTAGAGTATATAAAGAATGTGTATTTTAAAATAATAAAAAAAATAAACAATACATTTTTTAAAAATTTAGAGGAATATATAGAGAGCTTCAACAAATCAGTAAGAAAAAGTCAGACAAGCAAATAGAAAGGTAAGTTAGTCAAATGGCCAACAAGCATACAGAAATGTATTCAACTTTTCTAGCTGTTGGGGAATACAAATGAAAATCGCAGTGGTATGCCAGTTGCACAGTGACGTTGGCTAAGATAATAAAAATAATATCAAGGAAATTTAGTGTTGAGGATATTACACGAAGTGAAATAAGCCAGTTGTACAGAAAGACAAATTGCTGCATGATTCCAGCTATAGGAAGTATTCAAAGAAATTAAACTATGAAACAGAAAGTAGAGCAGTCCTGGAGCATACTCAGAGGTTGGGGAGATAGGAAGTTACTATTCAATAGGTGTAGAGTTTCATTTTTGCAAGATGAAAATATTCTTAGAGATTTGATGGCCAACAAGATGCATATAATAAACACTACTGTATTGTGCACTTATAAATGGTTAAGATGGTAAATTTTATATCATTTTTTTACCACTGTTTTTAAAGAAAAGCATTATAAACTGGATACCAGGGGCTGGGCACTGAAGGAGTCAGTGGACAGTTAATGTTTAATGGGTACAGAATTCCAGTTTCAGATGATGAAAAAGTTCTAGAAATGGACAATGCCGATGGTCACACAACTTGAATATGTTTAATACCATTTAATTGCACACTTGAAAATGGTTAAATCGGTAAATTTTATATCATGGGTAATTCATCACAGTAAAGAATGCTTTCTTAAAGAATATCCAGTGTTGGGACTTCCCTGGCGGTCCAGTGTTTAAAACTTTATGTTTCCAATACAGGGGGCACAGATTCAATCCTAGTTGGGGAACTAAGACTCCACATGTCTCAAGGCATGGCCAAAAAATAAATAACATTTAAAAGAAAAGAAAAAAAAAATATCAAGTGTTGGTGATGATGTGGAGCAATTGGAACTCTCCCAAAGTGCTGGTAGGAATGAGAATAAGTACGACCAACTTCAGAAAATGCTTGTCACTCTGTTCTAACACTGAGCACACGAGACAACCATTCAACTCCCAGGTATGCATCCAACAGAAGCATGTATGCATGTTCACCAAATGTATCCAAAAGCTTTCACAACAGTGCTTGTTGTAATGGCTGAAAAAATGGAACCTGCCCAAATGCCCATCAACAGTAAGACAGGTGACAGACAACAAGATCCTACTGTATAGCACAGGGAACTGTATTCAGTGTTCTGGGGTGAATCATTATGGAAAAGAATATAAAAAAGAATGTACAGAGATGTATAACTGAGTCACTTTACTGTACCAGAAATGATCACAACATTGTAAATCAATTGTATTTCAAAAAAAGAAAAAACGTTAAGACAGGCGACAACAAGGTCCTATTGTATAGCACAGGGAACCATATTCAGTTTCTTGTAATAACCCACAGTGGAAAAGAATATGGAAAATAATATGAAAAAGAATGTTGTCCTTGTTTAGCTGCTCAGTCGTGTCTGACTCTTTTGTGACCCTATGGACTGTAGCACGCCAAGCTCCTCTGTCCATGGGGATTCTCCAGGCAAGAATACTGGAGTGGGTTGCTGTTTCCTTTTCCAGGGGATATTCTTGACCCAGGGATCGAACCCAGGTCTTCTGCATTGCCAGGCAGATTCTTTACCACTGAGCCTAGGGAAGACATTAAAAAGAATATACGGCTGAATCACTGCTATGCAGAAACAGACTCAGATATAGAGACCAGATCTGTGGTTTTCAAGAGTGCAGGGAGAAGGATGGATAGGGAGTTTGGGATTAGCAGATGCAAACTATTATATATAGAATGGATAAACACGCTACTGTGTAGCATGGGGAACTATACTCAACATCTTGTAATAAACCATCAGTTCAGTTCAGTTCAGTGGCTCAGTCGTGTCCGACTCTTTGAGACCCCATGAATTGCAGCAGGCCAGGCCTCCCTGTCCATCACCAACTCCCAGAGGTTACTCAAACTCATGGTCCCTCGAGTCCATGATGGAAAACAAAAAAATTGTAAGTGCCTCCCTAATGGTAAAAAAAAAAGAAAAATCCAAATGTCTATTGGTGGATGACTGGATAAACAAAATATGACCAATCTGTACTATGGCACCGACCCACTCCAGTGTTCTTGCCTGGAGAATCCCACGGGCTGAGGAGCCTCGCAGGCTACAGTTCCTGGGGCCGCAAAGAGTCAGACACAATGGAGGACTAGGCAGTACAACGGTGCATCATTCAGCAGTAGAAGCACAGATCCACACTACATCATGGATGAACCTCAAACATGCTAAATGAAAGACACCAGATGCAAATGGTCACATATTGTATGATTCCCATTTATAGGAAACATCCAAGGTATTTACCTCCACAGAGACAGGAAGCTGATGAGGGGCTGCCAGGAGCTTTGGGAAAGAGAAGACTCTTGAAGAGTCCCTTGGACTGCAAGGAGATCCAACCAGTCCATCCTAAAGGAAATCAACTCTGAATATTCATTAGAAGGACTGATGCTGAAGCTGAAGCTCCAAGACTTTGGTCACCCGATGCGAAGAGCCGACTCATTGGAGAAGACCCTGATGCTGGGAAAGATTGAGGGCAGGAGGAGAAGGGAGTGACAGAGGATGAGATGGTTGGATGGCGTCACCGACTCATTGAACATGAGTTTGAGCAAGCTCCGTGAGATAGTGAAGGCCAGGGGAGCCTGGCGTGCTGCAGTCCATGGGGTCACAAAGAGTGTGAGACAGCTGAGCGACTGAACACCAAACAACAACAAGGGGTTTCGGGAAGGAGGAAATGGAGAGTAACTGTTTCATGGGTACAGAGCTGCTTTTTGGGGTGATGGAAAATGTTTTGAAACTAGATAGAGGTACTGGCTACACAACATTGTGCATATACTAAATGCCACTAAACTGTTCATTTAAAAATGGTTAATTTGATAAAAATTAGATAAAACACAAGGGGATTTCACTGGTGGTCCAGTGCTTAAAACTCTCACAGCCAAGGCAGGGATGAGGGTTCCATCCCTGGTTGGAGAACTAAGATCCCGCACACTCTGCGGCAAAGCCAAAAGATAAAAAGTAGTTTATTGGTTAATTTTATGTCATGAGGATTTCCTCTTCATTGAAAGAATAATAATTGAAGCTCAAAGTCATTCCGCCAGGATTCAAGCACCTCTTTCACGACTTAAGCTCTTGCTACTGTCACTTGCTCCTGCCTCAAACGGGGATGACAGCGTTTCTTAGCTCATCTGGTTGTTTTGAGGGTTCAGTGAATTCACGTCCACAGGCATGGTGCAGCTCTCTGTACTCCGTGAGCCCGCAGAGACAGTCAGCTCCCGGTGGCCGATCAGAGTGCCCCATACAGCCCAACGCTGCCCAGGTAACCATTAGACTTACTAAATGACCGCCAGACTCGAGGCTATAAACCCAGGCCACCCGGATCAAGTGGGTGTTCCTGTGGTTATGGGAAAAGAATGTCGAAATGCACGTTCGCAAAGGAGAAGTGTGAGGCTTATCTCAATTCTTCACGGCCAGCCTTCTGTTTCGGTTCCCTCCTCCCTCATCGCCAGTTTCCACTGAGTCACCAACTCCCAGATCTGTGCCCTTGTCTCTATCCCAGCGTGACCTCTGTCCCCTGAGCCTTAAAACACCCCCGCTCCTCAAAACCTGGGCTCCAGTCTCGCTCCCTCCAGCCCATCACCACCACCGCCCGCAGAGGGAGCAAACACCCAGCTCCAGCCCTGTCCCTCCCCTCCTCCGCGTCCTTCCACGCCTGCCCCCTTCCCTCAAGATGAAGCATCAGCCCCAGTGACACTTATCCAAGAACGTTCACACTCTCACCATCATCTACCCTTCCCCCGCTACCAGCCACCCCTCACATGCCTCAGCCACATCGCTGCCACTTCCTAAGGACCATGTGCCTCTTCCTGTCTCTCCGACCCTGCTTCAC